GTCCCTTTGAAAAAGTCCCTTTCAAGGAAAGTCGGTTCACTCAGTGGCCATATTTGCAATGCCTCTGGGCAGCTGTTTCAGACATGCAAGACCACTGCATGAACTTTCCAACACTGAAATCTCAAAAATAAATAATATTAAATAATATATTTCGAAACGGCAACAAAATCTGACATGGACTGTCCCATAAGTGTTGTTTCCTATGCTCAAATAGTATTAAGCAGAGGGAACCAGAGCTTCTAATGGCAGCTGTAGTGACATGACGACTTTACCAATTGTTGATCGGTTCTTTTATTTAGAAGGCGGGACTTATTTCACCATATTGTGCGTTGCACTTTCTCCTATTCATAGTAATTTGAGTGAACAGTCTTGTTATATTTACAGTCTTTGACGTTGTCCAGCTGAAAAACTGATGACAATGTCAATGGTTTGAAGTGTCCAGTAACTTATGTAAAAGGATTTTCTTAAAGTCAGATTTCTGCTCTTGGGTGGCTCAGCTGAAGTGTTCGTTTTAAACAAATCATTTGTAAATGAATTTCAAGAGGAATTTGGAAGTGCAGCTAGCACTTTCTCGAGGTCAGTGTCGAAGTAGCAGATTGAGACTCTCACAGGGCTATTTGAGTATTTCCTGTTCCCCATTCTCTCTCACTCTCTTTCGGAGTCGTGTTTTCCTACAGTGTGTCATGTGTCCTACAAGTAAGCTGGATAGATTCAGCACATTTGTGTCCATCGTCAGTAGTCAGCTAAAACCTCATTAGCTGAAGTCCCCTGAGACTGCACAGAAAAAATGTTGCAAGTCTAAACCCCTTTAAAGAGCAAGAAAACGCAACATTCCTTAACTTTCATTCAAGTTCAGACTTGCATGGTAAAGTTTTTCAAGAGTTCTTGAAAGTAGATAACTGGATAACGAGGACTTTTTAAATACACAAAGCACAAATAAAGCTACACATTTGCTTTCTTGTTCCTTCTTTTGACTTTCTTTATAACTACTCAACAAACTTGTATCGGCTCAGGGCTGTGACTCTACCTCTCTTGGTTATTATAAGGAAGTGCTGATTGCATTTGCTTCCTCAATCATCTGTAGTGTGAAGTGTTCAGCTTAAAGACTTATTTGGGCAAAAATGTGATCTTCCTCAAGTGCACTTGTAACAGAAAAGGGGAAAAATTCTTTATTTCAGCTTTTTGGGCAGCAACTGCTTTGCGTTTCCATATAGATGGTAAAACATTATTTTGTCAGCTGTGTTTGGTAAGAATACAGCTGAAGCTTTCCAGATTGTTGCAACCAACTGAAGTGTTACTACATTCTGTCTTGTTGGATTTTTAGCACTTGGGAGCTTTTCATAATCTGTGAAGTATCTTAAACACCACATGTAAGTTAGAGTAAATGGAGTCAGTCAGAAACTGAAAATACTTTAATCACCTGGTCTTGATTTCACTCTTGTCTTATGTTTTGATTAATTAAATGCATCCTTGCTGAATAAAAGTATTAATTTCTCCTAAAAAATTCTAATGACCCCAAAACCTTTGAATGATGATAGTGTATCTTTGGAAACAAGGCCACTGGAAAATTGTTATCGGTTGATGAGGTTTTGTTAATGGTGTTTTGATTAATTAAATGCATCCTTGCTGAATAAAAGTATTAATTTCTCCTAAAAATTCTAATGACCCCAAAACCTTTGAATGATGATAGTGTATCTTTGGAAACAAGGCCACTGGAAAATTGTTATCGGTTGATGAGGTTTTGTTAATGCTACTTTTTTTTTTTCTGCAGATCCCATTTACATTTCTATGTAAAATGGAATTTGTGGATAAACCAGGAGACCATAAGTCATAATTCACCATGTTCAGGCTAAAAACGTCTGTTGAGCATGATTGGGAGGAAATTACACCAAGTGATTCAGCTTGACTCATGACAATAAAATGCAAAGAACAGGCATGGCGGTAATCTTTTACAAATCTTGGTCATTCTAAAGCATGAGGACTCTTTCAGAAGTAAGCATATGTGATTTCAGGAGTTAATTTATAATTAAACATGGTGGATTTAAATTACAGCTGACCTTTAATCGCACTGAGCATGCTTGACCTTTCTTTTGTTAAACAGACTAGCCGTATGCAGACGTAAATTATTGATTTGAAACCACTATGGACACTGGTTGCTCGGTCTCTCAAGTGATCTGATTTTGCCTTTCAAAAATAAACCACCAGCTTAATCTCGCTTGCCGTGAAATCACATTAGTTTGATTAACCGCTGCTGTACTGTAATCTTCAACCAAACCCTGGATAGCAGTGTCCACAGAGAAACATGACCCTCAGATGCCCCACAACTGCAATCCTTCATCAAACAGCATTTTTCAGAGCACTGTGATCAAGGTTAGCCTGATATGTCAGATGCCACAGCACGAAGAGTTCATTTGAGAGATTTTGTGCCCCTGAACATGAACACGCTCTTTTGGCCTTTGAATTAGTGATGAGAAGATGTCAGTGATACAGGGTTAATGAGAAGAGATGCAGTTTTATGTGTGTGTGAGAGACCTGGCATCAGCAGGGTGTCTTGTGTCGGTAGACAGGAATACAGAAGCCATGTCTCTGAGGCAGGTGGAGACACACTCCATATTCATGAGCAGGGAGCATGATGGGATTGCCTAGAAGGAGTTAATGAGGGAGATAAAAACTTATCGGCAGAATATTTATAGATTTAGTCTTCAAATTAATTGAAAATTGAAGTATTTATTAATGTCTTATTTTACTTTAAATGTCTCTTATTTCATTGTTTTATTTTAATATTTTATTTTAAACTCTTACTTTAATATCTTGTTTCATTTAGTTGTAATATCTTATTTTTCTGTAATGTCTCTTTTACCATTGTTTTAATTCTGTATATTTTATTTTAATCTTTTATTTTAATGTTATTGTACTTAAATATCGTATTTCATTTTATTTTATTGTATTAATATCACTTAAGCTGTCCAAAACAAATTTGAAGCTTTCTTAGAGCACTATTGGGCAAATTGAAAATATCTTTCAGGGAAGAAGGAAGAACAAAATGACAAGAAGGAAGTAAGAATCCAAGGAAGAAAGAAGATTTACTAGTTGATCAGAGTCTCATTCAAAATGCATTGGCCTCTGCTTTTAATTAAAGGACCCTGTTACCATGGCAACGTAAAACCTCATCTTTGGGCAATATGTGGGTTTTTTGCTTGTGTGTATATGTGGACGTGTAGAGGAAGTGGTCTCCATTTGAAGCTTTCTTAGAGCACTATTGGGCAAATTGAAAATATCTTTCAGGGAAGAAGGAAGAACAAAATGACAAGAAGGAAGTAAGAATCCAAGGAAGAAAGAAGATTTACTAGTTGATCAGTCTCATTCAAAATGCATTGGCCTCTGCTTTTAATTAAAGGACCCTGTTACCATGGCAACGTAAAACCTCATATGTGGGTTTTTTGCTTGTGTGTATATGTGGACGTGTAGAGGAAGTGGTCTCGTACATAATAATTGAGAGAAAAGGGATATCATGTGACTATTCCTTTCTCATCGCCCCATTGCTGCACACTAACTCACCCGTCCCACACAGTTCTCTGGCCTTTGCACCAGAAAATATGCACCTGTGGATCAATTTAACTCATTATCGATGCAAAAGAAGAGGAGGCAGATATAATCGGTCTGGCCTGTGTGAATGTCACATGTTCCAAACCATTAGTGATTACGTCTGCTGAACCACAGGAAGTGTGTGTGTGTGTGTGTGTGTGTGTTTGTGAGAGAGATGTAAGATCAGTGTCCTCCTTTCTTTCCTGTGTATAAGAGAAATGACTGAAATGCTTTAACGTTTATATAACATCAGGCTTATGTTTAGTCTGTAGATTCTATGTATAAAGTTTGCCAGTTGTAATGCTCTCGGATGTACACACAAGTATCTTGGATTGCTATTTACTCAGTAAATTGCCAGCAGCTCATAAGCTGTTTATTAAAAATGCAGGAGAGATGAACATTAAGATGAAGTGTGTGTGTGTGTGTGTGTGTGTGTGTGTTTGTGAGAGAGATGTAAGATCAGTGTCCTCCTTTCTTTCCTGTGTATAAGCGAAATGACTGAAATGCTTTAACGTTTATATAACATCAGGCTTATATTTAGTCTGTAGATTCTATGTATAAAGTTTGCCAGTTGTAATGCTCTCGGATGTACACACAAGTATCTTGGATTGCTATTTACTCAGTAAATTGCCAGCAGCTCATAAGCTGTTTATTAAAAATGCAGGAGAGATGAACATTAAGATGATCTCAGCAGCGGGTATAATAAATGGGTGGCTGTTAATGAACACTTCAGCTCTGACTGATGATATTGATGCTTTAATAGATTCCTGTATGTTTCAGAGCAGAATGTTCATAAGTCAAGATAGACACCATATTTTATTGTACACAAATGAAAACAAGATGGGTTGTATTGGTGTAGATCAGTGGTTCTCAGCAAAGTTCCAGGAGCTCCTCAGTAAGTTTTAAAATGATTTAAAAATACTTGTATTAACCATGTTCCTAATAATAAATAATAAAGATGTACAACATTAAAATGACACTTTTTTGGGGGGGCCTGTACTTCTGCCCTCCACAGGAGTTTTCATTCAAATAAAATTATGTGTAGTGTCTTCCCAGATTAAAGTCTTTGTAATGATTTGATGTTGAGAGTTCTCACTGGTAACACTTTTACAAGAATGACTTTTTTTTTAACCTTTTACTTATTTAAATGATCTTTAAATTGAAATAAGCTGAAAATATATGAACCGTTGGTAAGAGAAGTGAAAGATGTTCCAATAGTCCTGATAAGGTATTCCTGCTAGTGAGGGCCCAGTTATTTATCTGCACTGCCCTCTGTTGATCACCGGAGACATTACAGCATTATCACCAGTGATGAGATGGCTGTTCCTTGTGTTTTCAGGAACATTTATTTCAAAAGAAGTCCTGTTTTACATGATATTTATGCATTAATAACTTAGTTGCTTGTGTGTGTGCAGGTATGATTTAGAGAAAGACAACTTCATCGATCTGATGGAGCTGAAGCTGATGATGGAGAAACTCGGAGCACCTCAGACTCACCTGGGCCTGAAGAACATGATCAAAGAAGTAGATGAGGACTTCGATGGCAAACTCAGCTTTAGAGAGGTAAATGCTTCAGTATGTCAAAACATGATTTAATAACTTAGTTGCTTGTGTGTGTGCAGGTATGATTTAGAGAAAGACAACTTTATCGATCTGATGGAGCTGAAGCTGATGATGGAGAAACTCGGAGCACCTCAGACTCACCTGGGCCTGAAGAACATGATCAAAGAAGTAGATGAGGACTTCGATGGCAAACTCAGCTTTAGAGAGGTAAATGCTTCAGTATGTCAAAACATGAAACAATTTGCTTGCAGATTTGGCTGTATTTCACAGCAACGAAGTACATGATGAAGAGCAGGAAACTACTTGTATTCCCCCATTAATCACCTTATTTCCTTCTTTTTCTCTCTAGTTTCTTCTTATCTTCAGAAAAGCAGCAGCAGGAGAGCTGACAGAGGACAGCGGGCTTCATGTCTTGGCACGTTTGTCAGAGATTGACGTGTCAACTGAGGGAGTGAAGGGAGCCAAAACATTCTTTGAGGCAAAAGTAAAGTATCATGACATTTTAATACTTTTTTTCCCACCCCTAAGTGAAATAAATCCTCAGGTTTAACCATCAGCATATTCATTCATTCATATTTGTAAACCCCTCTTAGTCTATGACAGCTCTATAACTGTAATTTCCTGCCTAGATAGGTTGTATTGAATGCCTCTGATAAGGAAATTCAATTTAGGATTACCTAAAAATGTATATTTGTCTCTGACAGGTGCAGGCCATTAACGAATCAAACCGGTTTGAGGCAGAAATCCGTCAGGAGCAGGAAGAGAAGAAGCGTCAGGCGGAGGAGAGGAAACAAAGACAAGCTGCTTTCAAAGAGCTGAAGTCAACCTTCAAATAGCCTCATCCATCTCGACAGCCTCGATTTACTCGTCACGTTTGTCCATCTGTCTGCCATCAGAGTCCCCCGCAATCAGAGATACTATGCAAGGCTGTGAAATGCTCAGAGATTCATGCAGATTCATCTTGAGAGAGGGACACCTGTGTAGTTTGTGCTCACGAGCGGATGTTGGTGTTGAAATCGTCTGTTTATCGTCGTTTGCTTCTCTCGCTCTCTCTCAGGCTGATTTTAAATGTGAAGCCAGACACTGATCTCAATACATTGGATTGGATTTGTTCTGTTTCAGTGTCACGTATGTGTGTGTGTGTATATATGTACTGTAGTCCATTCACCCCATCAGTTTCATTTTAGTTTGAATGGCATTTTGTCTTGTTCTCGTCAACGTGTCAGTAGGGTAACATTTTAAAGTTTTTTTTAATCAACTAGTACTCTCAGTATGCCATATCCAGTCCGTTGTATTCATATCAGTGGCAATTTAAGCAGGAAATGCTTTTCACTGTACCGTGACTAATTCAACTTTCATCGTTGACTATTTAAACATGAGGACAAACATTAGTGTACACCAGACCTCTGCTCTCGTTCACAGATACATTAAATATATTATTATTGAGCAGAGAGAGAGAGAGAGATGGAGAAGTGGTTTTGGGTGTATGTGCATGTGTGGTGATGATTGTAATTGTGTTTGTTGAGTGTTTATCAATGTTTTCTTGCATGGTCACCGTGGTGTGGTTTTTCCTACATGGTTCCCTTTAGTCTATAAGTTGTCCAGTGTTAAATGTGGCACACACAGGCTTACAATTAGTCTTTAAGATCAAAATGATGACATGAAATGGCTGTAAATTTGAAACGGCTTACTTTTGCCTTACAAAAGTAAGTCATTACAGTTTAATTTCTTTAGCTTGTGTGTTTGATGTCGATGGAGGGCGATAGTCATCTGACTGTTTATACTCTGAACCCCTGTATTTTGTGCTTCCTGAACAGATAACTGTAACATGCTTATAGGGTTGGTCAGATACCACAGATGGCGTGAAATCCTCCTCAGCTTTTATATAAAGGGATAGTTCACCCAAAAATCATTTACACACCCTTGTGTTTTTCCAAACCTGAATAGCTTTCTTCTGTGGGACACAAGGGTTTACTTTAGAAAAAGTTTAAACTGTTTTTGTCCATATAATGAAAGTCAGTGGGATCCAGAACTACACTGAACCCCCTTTAAAAGACACAAATATCACTGAGACGTTTTTCTTTGGTGTGAGAAGAGAGAAATTCATACAGGTTGGTATGACATGTGGGTGAATTAATTATTTTGGGGGAACTTTCCCTTAAGAGTCAAGTCTCTAAATCTAAGTCTGGGTTGCTTAATATTATTCAAAATATGACCACATTTCCAAGCCTTGCAGAGCAGCCCATGCTCAGTGAGATAAAGTAAAATCAAAAAGTTTTTCATGCATAGAATATAGACCTCATTTGCTAATGAAATACGCATGGCTTTTCTGTAGAGCCAGTGCATGTAATTCAACATCTAAATGAAAGAATTTCATGCTTCTGAATAGGATCTAATATTAAAGTATTTAGTAAAAAAAAAATAGAATAGGTTTCAAAGTTTACTGTGACATCATCTGAAAAATGAGGGAACATTTCTAATGAAATCATCCAAAAGTGTAATGAATTAAACCTTTTATGGTCATGTGACATGCAGTACACTGTGGCAAAGGTAACTGAGATGCTATGTATAAAGAAATATATATTTTCATGTGATGAAAATCAAAAAATAATTTTAGTTTTGTATGGAAAGCTGTCTTGTGAAAAGAAACGTTCTTATTTTCTCAATATGAATTGTGTTGCCTACAATCTTGTCTCCCTTTGGTTCTCCATGTATCTGATGTTCCTTAGGGTTTTCCATTACAATCTAATCAGTAAAGGCAAAATACCCTTTAGTCTTTTCTATAATGGAGACAATAATGTTGGCAATTGCTGTGCTTCATGTTGTTCTTTGTTTTTGTGTTCCAAGTCACTGGTAAATGTTCCTGTTTGCTCACTAGTTCTGTGGAAATTCAAATAATAGGTGTATAAATATTTGTCTCCCAATCTGTCCAGCTATCCACATGTTCTTTTTCTTTTATCTACTGTTCAACTAAAAGGTGTTGAAAATATTAGCTGTTAAAGGGTGAATGTGCTCTATATGTTATTGATTGAGGAGTTGACTGACGACACTAATCAAACAGCTGTTGCATTCTGTTAGAAGCCATAAACCATTCTGTCATTCCTTTGGAGAGATTTTAGCTGTTCCATTGTTGTCGTGCCAAATGATCTCACACTGTGTTAAGCTAATTTTAGTACAACATTCCCTGAAATCCATCAGGATACTTCTGATCAGCAGAGATTTGAATTAATATGAGCACAGCTAATTGGAATTTAGATTGAACTTCACTGATCTACAGTGTTAACATTTTTAAAAAGTAAGAACTCGTAATTAATTGGTAAAAACCCTTTTTACAGTTTTGGCTTTATAATTAATGTTTGTACATCTGAATAATCACATTAGAGCTTTGGCAGTATTAATTTCTGTGGGGGGAAAAACACTCCTTCCGATGCAGATAACACACAAACAGCACAACATTTTTAAACTTTTTTTTTCCTTTTATTTGATTACTTTTTTCTGACAAAAAATGACAGTGTAGTTAAATTTGACAATTTCATCTTATGGCATGTTTTTGTTGTTTAATTCATCATTCCAGTGATTTGGCAATGGTTGAGAGGGCCTTGAATCATCCTGATCATATCTGTACCTTGCTGTCACTGTCTATGTCAGTTGAACTGGTGGTTATGGTATCATACTCTTGTAAGCTTATACATATTGATATGTGGCTTCTATAATATGCACATTTATTTTTGATTTTCTTACTAAAATGTACAATTATTCTTGTGACAATAAAAATACTTTTAATTTGGAAACATTTTGTTTGTTTTGGTGATTTATACAGTTATGTATCATACTCGTTTATATCCAAAATGAAAAAGATTTAGAAAATAAACAATTAAATATATACCGTAATATAGATAGAATATATAAATATAAAACAAATCCTATTATTATATAAATAATACAATATGAAAATTAAAAAATATATATATACATACCAAATAAAACTGGTTGTTTTAAAGTAATAAAAACTCTATGTTGTTAGTCTTATGTTTGAGGATCTGGGGCCGTTATCAAAGAGAAGATGTGACCTTGAATTCCAAAGTGCACACGACTAAAACACTCCCGTTTATGAAATTATTACTATTAAATTTTTTTGTAAATGACCTTAAACGGTATGATGCCAAGTGACCAACTCAAAATACCATCACTAGATGTAGCTGTTTGCAAGCCCTGATTCTGTCGTCGCATGAAATGTTTTTCTCATCTAAATTACAAAATGTAACTTGAACACAAAACCTGTACTACAAGATTTGCGCTTGATATGTTGTAAAACAAAACAAGCTTGGATACATGTTAACGGAAACGCAATCGATTCCGGAACTATTGTTCAGATGTGAGGCGCAGCTCCTCCGGACTTTCGTCGTGGTTGCGCGCGGAAGTGTTAGTCACGTGACACGTCTCAAGCGTAAATAGTTGTCTCCTCAGAGCGACTGATCGCAGACCTCGCTGTTTTACCTGCATAAATGAGTATCGACTTAACTTTTGTCTAGTAGCCACAGTTTACTGGAATATTCAAACTAAGCAGGACAAAATGAACGTGGACCTTACGCAAACCGGACAGACTGGAGCAGCAACCGCATCCAGCAGCAGCAGCAGCAGCAGCAGCAGCAACTGCGTCCCGAACAGCGCCTCCACAAACGCCAGCAGCATCCCTGCGGTCGGCAGCGGTAATGGTGGGGGTCTTTTTTGACAGTTTAAATGCGCACAGAGTAGCTGTTGCCTTTTAACCTTTAGCCACTTAAGTGTTGGTCTGTATAAAGATGGAGAGTAACGTTAGTGTATCTGTAATCTTTATTATTCGTGCAGTTCTGAAGGTCTGTCGTACTTTTCCCCTCACAGTTCCGACCTCGGCAGCAATGGCAACTCCATCATCCGACTCCAGCGTGTCAAACGGGGTGTATGTGCACACAGGCATCGCTAATGGAGACGTGAAGCCCGTTATCTCGACCACACCGCTGGCTGATTTCCTGATGCAGCTGGAGGATTACACTCCTACAGTCAGTCCACACATGCTTGCAGTACTGCAGTACATTCTTTGATTCTGGGTGTCTTTAGGAGTTAACAAACTGTCTCTGTTTTTCAGATCCCAGACGCAGTCACCGGATACTACCTCAACCGAGCTGGGTTTGAAGCCTCAGATCCAAGAATGTGAGTTGGAATGATGTTCTCTCAGAAAGCTGTTATGTAGTGCTGCTGCTAAAAACATGTTAGGGTCTTTAAGCAAACATTTTTTCTAACAAAAGTAACTTTTTAATGTAGTTTAAAGGCCCATTTACACCATAACTGTAACGATAACTATATTAACGTCCACATCAGTGGATGATAACGTTTATTATCAGTGTTATTTTGAACTAAATATTAACTAAAACTATTAAAAATACTTTTTAATTGGACAAAAAGGCTGAAATGAAATATAAATATTAGATTAAAAAAAATTAAAGTTGAGAAGTTGCTTTGGCAACTAACTGAAATAAATATATAGTTTAAGTACTAAAACGGAAATAAAAATAAATGTACGCTAAATAAAAAAAAATGGCAAAAACACATTTATTAAAAATGTTGATAAATACTATAATAATATATATTTAACAGTTATTACAGTGGTGGCCAAAATTATTTGAACACTAATATTTTCACCAGCTAAAAAATGGTTTTAAGTCAGTTCTATGTTTTGATGTAGTGTGTCAGTAGGAAATTTAAAGTTGAGAAGTTGCTTTGGCAACTAACTGAAATAAATATATAGTTTAAGTACTAAAACGGAAATAAAAATAAATGTACACTAAATTTAAAAAAATGGCAAAAACACATTTATTAAAAATGTTAATAAATACTATAATAATATATATTTAACAGTTATTACAGTGGTGGCCAAAATTATTTGAACACTAATATTTTCACCAGCTAAAAAATGGTTTTAAGTTATTTCTATGTTTTGATGTAGTGTGTCAGTAGGAAATATCAGTTTACATTTCCAAACATTCATTTTGCCATTAATTGTAATAATCCAGTGAGATTTTTGTCTGACAGCAGCCAGTGCTCCACACAGAGATCTGATCTGATCATCATCTGTCTGGAATGACATGAAGAACCTGAGACAAACTAAATCCAGAAGATCTGTGACAATGTCTCCAAGATGCTTCAAGAAACCTAACTGCAAAGCTACAGTACTGTTACAAGTTTTAGGCACCTGTGTAAAAATGCTGTAAAATGAGGAAGCTGTCAAAAATAATGTCATTAATAGATTTTCTTTATCAATTAATTTCTATTAACTAAATTAAATCAACATTTGGCGTGAGCATCCTTTGCGTTTAAAGCAGCTTTTGCCCTAAGTGCACTTGCGCATAGTTTTTCAGGTAGGTTTCTTGGAAGTATCTTGGAGACGTTGCCAGATTGGCTTTAAATATTTCACCATTCATCAGCTGGAAAAAAAAAATCGCTTTAGAAATTATACCAATGACATCATTGCCCTGTCCTTACAGGACACAGAACACTCCCTACAGAAGTAGAATGATTTTTAAAACTTTAAAACTTAAATGAGTATTGTCCTGTGAATGGGCTTAAATAACACATTCATGTGTCATGAAGTGTATTGCATTGTTGGTAATACATTAGGCCAATATTAAAACTTATTTAAAAATCCTCATCATGAATCTTCCTTGACATCTTTATTCTGTGTTATCAGAATCCGTCTCATATCATTGGCGTCTCAGAAGTTCATCTCAGATATTGCAAACGATGCACTACAGCACTGCAAAATGAAGGGCACGGCCTCTGGAAGCTCCCGAAACAAGACCAAGGTTTGTGTTTGCAAATTGTGATAAGTACAGTAACATATTCTACAATAAATCTAGATAATGAATGTTTCATCTGCAGGCCATCATTTGTAGAAGTTAAAAATGTGTTGTAAAAATCTCTCATTCACACTGATCTCATCACACCTCCCAGGACAAGAAGTACACGCTGACAATGGAAGATCTGACACCAGCCATGGCAGAGTATGGCATAAATGTAAAGAAACCTCATTACTTCATTTGAGGGGAAGTGCTTCATGGAAATGGACTGCTGGAAATGCGCTGTTTGTCCCATCAGAACTTTGAAGACATTATCCTTCAGCGTGGGAACCATCGGCCCACTGGCCCTCAGCTTTTTGTATTTCCTTTAAGCGTGTTTGATTGCACCACACCGTGGGACTTTAGTTGATGTCAGTAAAAATCCTGTATAAATAAATTCATTGTAATTACGTTTTGTGTAATTGCACATCTTCTGTTACTGAAGCCTAGTGGGATCAATTATTGTGAAAATGAGTCTTAATTTAACCACTGTAAAGCTGTTACACTTCTGACGTCAGTTCATACACTGTCTGAGCCTCTCATCTCTGCTTTATGGATTTAGCTTCACGCCATAAGAGGCTTGAGCAGTGATGTGTTGCAGTATTAATAGTACCTAGAGCTGCTCTCAAGTTTCCCTCTCTACAGTGTAGTACAGCTGCACTGGCCATAGACCGCTCATTACACCATCTGTCTACAGCAAATATGATATTAATAATATTTAAATACTAGCCTTTGCTTTGTGCTATTTGCAGTTGCACTTCATCTGTATGTGCTCACAGGCATAGTTAATGCAGATGTAAAGCTCAATAATAGAGTGACAGGGCAGTTATATTAATATTAAAGCTAGTATTCATAAAAATTAAAATGCAATTACTGTGCTCTTATTTGAAAAACTGATTATTTTGTGTTAATATTAAATGATTTCATCAAATGAATGCATATTTTCCAGATTATTTCTACAACACAATATAAATCTAAATAGCTAGACAACCTTTTCCCACATCCCAAGAAAAAATGTGAACATCTCTCTCATGTTTATTAAATTGCACTTTTAACAAATGTTCATTTGCAAGACACACAGGCTGAGGTGGAAAGTGAAAACGTGTATCTAAATGCAAATCCATCAATGTCTTGTACTTTGCAATGAAATATAAAAATGTGCTGAACAGAAATGACAGATCAGACCTTATACAAGAGAAAATACAGCTTTTAAGACGTCAATTTGTGGCATCGGTCCACACATTCTTTTAAGTTCAGCTATACTTTAAAAAGGTGCAATGTTGCAATAGTCAGTGAGCAAAATGATTTAATTTGCTACATTGAGAAGATTAAAAAAAACTGGAACATTGTTGCTCAGTGAAAAACTTTTCAAAAGCTTTTTTTCAGTGTTATTTTAGTCAAGTATCTGCATTGTATTTTTGATGTGCATGCTTCACATGTAAATGTCTACATCCAATGTCCCTAGAAAACTTCTCTAGATCTTTTTTCTAAGAAAAAGGGTGTCAGTGCCTGTGTGTAGTGCACGAAAAAACAAAACAGGGACCCAGTTTAAATCCGGCCTGCGTCACATACTGATCCCATTCCCACTGTCCTATATCCATCTCAACTGTACTATACAAAAAATATACACGCCATTAAATGAAATGATAAAAAAAATCCTTAATCCTTTACATAATCAAGAAAAAAGGGGGATGTTTTCTCCATATATACTAGCCAACGACTGACATTTCATTTTCAAACCCATTAAGAGCATTGGGGAAGATTCTTTTGAAGAATGTAAAGGCTCATGTGAAACATAAATATGTACTTCAATTTGCAGATAAAAAAATTTCATTAAGCCTTTATCGGACATTATAAGCCCTTCTTGCCTCATTTGTAAGTCACTTTGGATAAAAGCATTTGCTAAGTGAGTGTGTAAAACACAAATGATGTTATTTGCATATTGTACTTGTCCTGTCAGTCACAAGCATGCAAACACTTTCCATTTAAATGAGAAGAAAAATATCAAAAATCTAATTTCTTTTTAGGACCAGTATGTTTTATGTATACAGTATATTTATTTTCTTCAAAAATTCACCTTTAAAAACTGCTAAAGATTTTCCTGTGAACAAAATGTCAGGATAATCTTATTTAGTGTAACAATTATTTTATAACTCGATACAAAAAAGTTGAAACCACAGGTACATGTGGTAGACAAACCAAAGAAAAGACTTGCCTTTGGGGCTCTATGTCCACAGATTACAAGGTTTTCAGGCATTTGTCTGTTTTATGTAACTCACTCAACTGTAAATGTTCACAGAACAGAGTGTGAACAATTTTATTGAGGATGTTCGGTAAATTCAGTCACCAAAAAACAAGTCCTAAATCAGAACAGCCATCAGAAATAAAAATCACCAGACCTCATTAAAATAGCAGTAACATGTTCAGGCAGGCGTCCATTTTTATGTTATTTCTCTTACCATCTTTGAAAAAAGCACCCTTCAAAACAACCAGTGCACTACCTGTTCATAAACTGAAGTAATTGTGATTTTGGACAATGGTAGAAGATTCAGGTTGAAGACGTCTCATGAATTTGCTGAATGTCTCTCAATACATTTCTACACAGCACTAGTGTTTTCCTTGGGTTTGGTTGACTTGGTGCCTGGTGGAACTGGGATGGGACGGCGTTTACGTTTTGTTACCTTGCCACTCTGCCCGTTTACGATGCCCTGAGCCATGCCCTCCATATCCTCCACGCCAATATTAATGGCTTCTGCCAGCTCCTTCCTAGTCACAGATACAAACTGTGGGTCCTCAGCCAAGGAGTCTAGACCACCGTCTCTCAGTGCCTGAGGATTCATGGACAATATGGTGTAATAGTCTCTCCTGAGAAGGTATGGAATGAATGTTAAGTACATGAGATGTGTCCTGGTGTATTTACCTGCTGAATGAGTTTGTTGGTGGCTAGTGAAGCTTCTGTTGCTGCTCTCTGGTTCTTTGATGGCCCATATGAGGGGTTACAGGGGAACTGAGAGAGTCAGACACACATGGAGGAGTCAGAGAGGGATATCAAGTAGTCACTGTACTGTGTTTAGCTCAGGAAATGTGAAATCTGTCCACACCTGTGTGATATTGGTCCTCACAGTGAAATCTGACAGCCGTCTGTCATCAACACTTGAGACCCCGCCCACATATGAACTGGAGTCTCCTATTTGTTGCACAGAAAATAATGTCATTTGTACAATAAAGTGTTGTCGATTTCTGTCATATCAGCTGAATTTCTTCATGGTATAAATATTATAAATGACTTGATAGATTATAACTGATTTTTAAATGCTTTTTAAAGAAGTATTTTTATGCTTAAAGAGACTGCATTTATTTGATCAAAAATACAGTAAAAACAGCAACATTGTGAAATATTATTACAATTTATAATGGCTATTTTCTAATTTAATATATTTTAAAATGCAATTAATTCAGCAGTCATTACTCCAGTCTTCAGCGTCACATGATCCTTCAGAACTCATTCTAATATGCTGATTTGGGGCTCAAGAAATATTTCTGATTATTATTAATGTGGAAAACAGTTGTGCAGCTTAATATTTTTGGTAAAGTAAAAACATGATTTTTTAAAGATTCTTTGATAAATGCAAAGTTCAAAAGAACAGCATTTATCTGAAATAAAAATATTTTGTAACATTCAATGTCTTTACTGTCACTTTTGATCAGTTTATTGCATCCTTGCTGAATAAAAGTATAATTATAACATTTGACCCCAAACTTTTGAAAAGTAATGTATATGGTGGCATTTGTTGTAGTGCTTTCAATAAAAATGAATAACATTTCATAAAAAAGTATTTTCAATGTAATACTGTAATTAATAGGTCCTAATAGTAATATAATATTTTTCTAATAAAAAAAATATATATTTGTTTATTATTTATTTAAAAAAATGTCTTCAATCACCTACTCTTTTCACTTACTTATGTCCTCATATGAATAGTTTCTGGTTGCAGCAGCTGACAGTGACTCGTTTTCAAACGTAAACCTGGATGACATACTAAAAACAGCATCAAATGAGCATTGTGACCTTTACAGATACACATTAAGTGCACTTTTCATTATAGGTATCCACTCACTCTTCTATAAAGTTGGCATTGTTATTGGTGTTGGTTGTTGTTGGCATGTTATCAGGGAAGAACTCAGTGTTTGAGAGGAAGACGGAGTCTGGAGGTGACTCTATATCCTCCAGACGAGTCTCCACAAACTGCAGGGGCCTCTGGCTGGTCACCTGTGTGGAGAGGGGGCTGCTGGGCTCAGAGGAGAAGGGGTCTGTGTTGAGTCCAAACAGACCTCCTGTCCGCTGCATGGATAGAGACACAGAGACTATAAGTCTTTATCTACTTGTGTCTATTTCCTTAAGGAGATGCTTTAGTGCAGACCCTGTAGATGCCCTCCTCTCCGGCCTCCAAGACACGCTCCATCTCATCCTCAGCGATCAGGTCACCTGAGATGGCCCTGTGCAGCTCAGGTGCTGCTTCCTCCTCAATGCTACGCAGACCTGCCTGCAAAGTCAGACGGAAATCTTGTTAGTATTTTGCTTGAAAAATGTCCTTTGTATGATGTTTACTACAAGCATTTATCATAAAGTGCACCTTAATCTCATTAGCGTTCTTCTTGGTAGGCCTGTAACCGTAGTATTCCTCCTGCCGCTGCATAAACTTGCGGAAATGTTCCTGAATCAGGAAGGTTGCGTAGAACTTTCCAACGGTGACTTCATCCTCTACAGCCAACAAAATTACATCACAGTCAGACATGGATTGTATTTAAAAACATGTGAATTAAACATAAATGATTATTATCACAGCTATCTCACCTCCAATGGGCGGAATGACCTGGTCCAATAGCTTCATACTGGTCCTCTTCCAGATTGACTTAATGATGGCTCTCAGTTCTTCATTGGCCTGCTCAAAGTTTCCTAACAGAAACATGTAAATAATATACTATGCCGCGAAATAAGCTGCTTGTTAAACATAATCTCAATTACACACCTTCCGTTTTGATTTTCAAAGCTGTTCTGACCAGTGCGAAGAGTGTGGCGTTGAAGGTCACTGTGCCGTCGCTGTTCAGCGGCATGTTCATGGAAATCAGGCGCTGAGGTGGAAGTTCACAAATACAGGTTTGAAATACTCACTGAAAAACACTACTGGTCAAAAGTTTGGGGTCAACACTTTTTTAAATTAATACTTGGATGCTAATCTAAATTAAAATGTTACAATTCTAAAAATTTTAAATTCAAAATTTTTATTGTAGTGTTTACAGTGTTATTGGTAATAATATGAAATGTTTCTTTAGCACCTAATCAGCATATTAGAATGATTTCTGAAGGATCATGTGACACTAAAGACTGGAGTAATGGCTGCTGAAAATTCAGCTTTGCCATCAGGAATAAATTAAATTTTAAAATATATTGAAATACATAACAGCAATTTTAAATTTTAATAATATTTTACAGTATTGCTGTTTTTACTGTATTTTTGATCAAATAAAGACAGCCTTGATGAGCATAAATTTTTTTTAAATTTCCAACCCCAAACTTCTGAACAGAACCAAAAAAAAAGCCAATTCTCTTACCTTACACGCTGAGCGGTGGGGACAAAATTTACCAAAACCCAACGGTGGTTGAATCCTCCGCAGGAGAGTTACTACATCCAGATGTTTGATTCGTCCCCTTTATAAGGACAGAAGACAGTGTACTTTATTATGTTTTAAGGAAAATCATAAAATGAACATCAGGATAAGATGACACTGGTATTGGAGCCTTGTGTGCTTTAACTCACGTTGCTTCAGGGTCATACTCTGCCCAGATCTTCTTGAACTCATCCAAGTGATGCGGGCCGAGGATTGACCAATCGTGAGTGAGGTAATCAAAATTGTCCATAATGACAGCCACAAACAAATTGATAACCTACAAAAAGAGATTGATTTAGTTTTGTATTCTGAGCTGATTTCCAAGTTTACCATGTATAGACTACAAGAGCCTCATATCTGTTTACCAAAAATGCACACAGCATGTAAAAGCTGAGGAAGTAGAAGACAGCGATGCTGGAGCCACAGGTATACTCCTCTCCAGGGACGTAGTCTGATTTGGCATCACAGAGCTTCCCATACATGGAGGCCAGCATGACTTTAGGCCACTGCTCTCCAGTGGCAACACTGTGAACCCACACATTCATCAGTTACCTGATTATTAGACTAAAAATATAGAGTTGAGTGCACTATATGGGCTCTCAAGTTTGCAAAGAATTACTTTTATTAAAGAGGTCATATGACATATGGTCATATCTTATGTATTTGGTGTAATGAAATGTGTTTATATGGTTAAGGTTCAAAAAACACATTATTTTCCACATACTGTACATTATTGCTATCCAGTGCGTTGTGAGTGGCCGAATACCTCAAGCGTGTGACGGAAATGTTACACCCCTTACCATATTGTGATGCACATGTCCGGCCGGAGCGACAAGACAAAAACATTAAAACCCATTATAAAGGAGGCATTTGTTGCATGATCCAGTGGGGACATAATTACGGATTATAATGACTTATACTGTCTTTTTACGCATTGCATCACATCATAAACATAAAACCATGTCTGCATTTGTGATCGGAGAAATGACAAACTACAAATGCTACTCTACACTGCTCAAAACTCGCGTTTGAATCATCAGTGGCAAATTCTTTAAATATAAAAACTTACTTACAGTCTGTGAGTCAGAACAGCCGGCATTGTAGTCTACTCTACCAGGATCAGGAAACAGTCCTTCGTAAAATGTGTTGCACACATCTGAATATTTGGGTTGAACTGTTCTGGAACAGTCTTGTAAATACAACTTAACCACTGATTTCTAGTCGTGTCCTCTTTTGGAAGACCAAACAAAGTATTTTCGCTTTCACGACACACACAGCGTCTTCACGACATGGCGGCGGTGGCAAAAATACTACAGCAAGAATAAAAGTTACGCCTTCTTTCTTTGCGTGAACATTTGGGCGGCGTTATGCAAATCTTCCAACACAGTGACGTAGACATGTGGGGGCGTGTTTAAACGAGGCATTTTAGGAGGGCGTGGACGAGTCTTAACTTTTATAAAGAATATCTCTTTGGGTTTGAGACTTTAGTCTTTGCAACTTTAGGGATCTTATCTATGCACGAACAGCTTGTAACACTCCAAAGAGAAAAGAAAACTTGAAATCGCAGCATATGACCCCTTTAAAGAACAAACAAGCAAAAAAAATAAATTCTCTCAGTACATTGTTGACTCACCGGAACAATAACAATACAGCTTGAGGAAAAGTTTGGAAGTTATTGTTGCGGTTAATCTCTGTACCATCGACCAGAGCAATTTTACCAAACATCTATAAACAGAAGGAGAAAGAGAGAATGAAAGAACTGAAAAAAAAATATATAAGAAGAATGAGAGAAACTACAGGAAATTTAAACAACTGAAGGAAACCAGATAAGTGAAGCTCACCTGCATCCCTATGACAGCATAGATGAAGAAGAGCATGACAATGAGAAGAGCCACATGAGGCAGCGCCTGAAGCAGGAAACACATCATCATAGACTGTAAGATACATTCAGTTAAAGCTAAAGCACTTTTCATTAAAAAATTATATAATAAAAGAAATAAATAAATTTTTATGATTGTTATATTATTAACTAGATATAATTATTATTATTAATTATTTAATTTTCTTTAGTCTTGTCTGACCTGGAAGGACTTAATAAAGGTCCACAGAAGGTTCCTGATCCCCTCTGAGCGATTCAGCAGTTTAATGAGACGCAGCACACGGAACAGCCGGAAGAACGTGATGGAAACTCTGACATTTTCTGCATCCTAAGAATGAGTAGAATTATGAGAGAAATATTTAGTTCCACCTATAAATATTAAAGTGGACATTTTTTAAGTGTTTACAAAGAAAACAAACCAGGATTATGTACGTACAGCTATTGCCTGCATTGGATTCACTTCCTGAAAAAAGAATAGACCCTTTTCACTTGTTTCCATCAGTAATGTAATATAATACAATATTATATAATAGCATATAATATCATATAAAGCAAAAATACATAGCTACACCATAATCTGGTATCATGCATATTTGTGGATATTTAAGCTTCTAAATGAATACAGAATCAAGAATACAGTCAAGACAGAGACGTTACCTAAATTAATTACATAAAGAATAAGGAATAATGAATACAAACCCTTCAAATCAAACCATTTAGGCAAGCACAGTTAGATGAAGCAATAAATTAAGCACATTTTTAAAAAAGCTTTTTCTTTTTTCATCAGTAGGAATCTGCTGATTGAGCCATAAAATCAGTATTATTAATGGCTGTCTAACAAATTCAGTTCTCCTTGCTCTTCGTTTAGTATGAGATAATGTGAGCAGTGTCTGTCCCATGCAGCGCAGAATGATATTTACCGCACAACCATGTAGACACCACAGTCCTCCACTGGCATCCAGCGCAGCCTGAGAACAGAAAGATGAGAAGTCAGGATGATGGATGAGAGATGACATGAGAGAAACGCCAATGCATCTTGCGAATAAGAGACATCAACATAACATCAAAATTAAAATCACACTTCCAAAACAAGTGGTTACTTATATAGACGATAAAAAGTGCATCAAATCACTCTTGGAGATGTGGAGCGGTGTGTATTAAGCAGCTGTGAGAGATGGAAAGAGGGTGGTTCATTAACACATGTGAAATGAATCATGAAAATGGGCCCATCAATGGCCACTGATGAGTAAAGTTGGTTGAATGAGAATAATACTAAGCTGGAGCTGATGAAATCTGTACCTCCTGTGCACTAATGCTGATATTGACTGCTTGCTGTGGTCTGTGCTTCATGTATCGCTAAATACGGGTTTAAAATACAAGCCATTTGAAATGCTTTTGCTTTTGTAGAGACATTAACATAACATATAAATCACTCAGACAATATTTTTAAGTAAGTTTGGAGTCTCAGATTATTGTCATACTCACATCAACCTCACTGAGGACCACGTCAACAATACTACCAACCACGATGACGAAATCAAACACATTCCAAGGGTCTCCAAAGTAACCCTGTGTCATGGCACACACAAAATACCAACAATGTCATAAAATAGAGCACATCTTCTCACACAGTTTCATATGGAAGAAGCAGGTGTACCTTTGCTTTGAATGCAATGAGTTTGACGATCATCTCGCCAGTGAACAGGACAGTGAAGATGAGGTTGAGAGTGTCAGAGAGTTTGGTTATATGATCGGACTGGTTGCAGTGCTGTACCACAGAGAGAAGAGAGGCAGCACATTAACAAAGCAGCCATTTTTAAATTGTTTTATAAACTATTATACAGACTGAATATTGTTCCGACTAACGTACTGACTGAATGGGATTAAGCTTCACTTTATTGGCTTGAAAACAGTGGTAAATGTTAATGTTTTGTAATGGTTGAATTAAAGGCAATATAAATTGAATGTAAAGATAATACATATTACATGCATCAATAAAATGACATAATATTTACTAAAATAATAGAAAATAATACATTTGACACCTAATCAATGTGAAAAACACCCCTATAACCCATTGCCAGTAATTAAAAAAAATTCAAAATATCGACTGAATTAGACTACCACTCAAAATCAGGAAGATTTCTAATGATCATCAAGGCTGCATTTATTTGATCAAAACATTTGATCAAAAATACAATAAAAAAAGGCAATATTGTGAAATATTATTACAATTGAAAATAATTGCTTCCTATTTAAATACATTTTAAAATGTTTTTTAATGTCATTATCAATGACTAAACCGCCTCTTTTGATCAATTTAATGCATCCTTGCTGAATAAAAGTATTAATTTCTTTAAATAAATCTCACTGACCCCAAACCTTTGAACAGTAGTGTATATCAGTATATCATAATATATATTAGCTGTAAATAAATGTAACTTCTATTTAACTGCTTACCTGAATTCCAAGACAGAGTGTGTTGAGCATGATGAGAAAGAACATGAGGTACTCAAAATAGCAAGAAGTCACGAAGTACCAAACGCGGTACTGGTGCGGGTTCTTCGGGATGTAGCATCTGAGGGGCCGTGCTTTCAGTGCATACTGCACACATTGACGCTGGTGAGGGGTGAGACAGAAAGAGAAGATGATTATAAAATTACAGCACAGTAAGCCCAGTTGCATTAACATCATGATCCTGATAAATACTGTATATACAGTAAAAGTGGAGTTAAACCAGGTATATGAAAAGCAGATGTACAGTATACTGTAAACAGGATATTTTACTTAAAATCTGTCTTTCAATTTACACACAAATTCCTGGATTAAATCCCATGTGAAGAACATCAAAGATCACACTGGTTACCTGGTTCTTGTCTAGCTCGCAGTTCTTGTATTCCTGCTCTCCTTGTTTTTGGAAAGTGACGATGACGAAGCCCACAAAGATGTTCATCATGAAGAAGGCAATGATGATGATGTAGATGATAAAGAATATGGAGATGCCCACTCGGTTATTGTACAAAGGGCCTGTGTCTACTGCATTTGAGTCTATAGCCTTATATAGGATCCTGTTGAAGATGAGTGAAGGAAGGTTTTGTGTGAAACATGCTCTTGACTGATGAAAATAGGAGTAGATTTTCACACACTCACTCTGGCCAGCCCTCAAATGTGGAGATGGTGAAGAGAGCCAGCATGCCGTTCAGGACATTGTCAAAGTTGAAATCACTGTTGACCCACATGCGCTGATGGACCTCCATGTCATGAAGAGAGTTTTGCACATGCTTTAAAAATGTTCCCCTAAGAAAAACCAAATGCAAGAACAAAGTTTTAGATGCATATCAGCAGCAACAGGAGGAGGAAAAAGCACAAAATTCAAAGAAATGTGGCAAAAAATACTCACTGACACTCCTCCGCTGTCTTTTGAAGGGGGTCCGTACAATAGTACAATTTGCCCTAATTAAAAGGTAATACGTTTAGCATACAGTAACGAAACACAGGGTTTTATAGCACAATATGGTGGTTGTCTCACCTTGAAGAGCTGCACTCCAATGCAGGCGAACATGAAGTCCAAGAGCATGGTGACCAGGACGATATTCCCAATGGTCTTTATGGCCACAAACATACACTGGACCACGTGCTGGAGATGAAAAATGTATTAATATTTAGAAGATTTTATTATATTTAGTGCCTAATATGTATCATCCTTTGAAGACTGGCCCTAAACCAACCAACCAATTGCTATCCATATTTAAATACACAGACAATCGCCACATCACAAATCAAAGCAGTTTTTTTAGTTAAGATGCTGAATGAATACACACCTTTAACCCTTTGGCCCTGTTGATGGCCCTTAGAGGTCTTAGTACCCTCAACACCCTGAGAATCTTCACCACTGAGATAGTACTCGACCTGCAATACAATAATGCAATTCAATTAGTGGCCTTCACTGTATTTTAATTAAAACTTCACTTGTATGATTAATTCATTAATTTTTTTAAAGAATACTACTAAAGAAACTTGCAATCTGTTTCTTTCACTACACATTATTATATGAAGTCAGTTGTAATCTGCATGTGTTTGATTCATTTAAAAGAAATGGCTCACACACGTTTTTCGTACATATTGAAAAATGTGCAAAAATGCTGCTGGTGGTCATCAGCAGAATAATGCACGTGCGAGAACAGTTAACTGATATTTTTTTATTTATATATTCCTTGTTTAAGACAAAAATATCCTTGTCAAAGCAATAAAATAATGGGTAATGTATACTAAAAACTGAAACCACATCAAATATTATTGAACTTACTCCATGCCCATGGACAAGAGGGAAACACCCACAACAATGAGATCCAAAATGTTGAATGAGTTTCGGCAGAAAGAGCCAGTATGTAGGAACGCTCCATAAACCGTCATCTAAAGATACACAGGTCAGTGCTGAATTAAATGTCAGCCAAAGTACAAATCTGAAAGTAACATGATCAAGTTGACAAGCACATTACCTTTAGCACAATTTCAATGGTGAAGACAGTTGTAAAGACAATGTCGGCATAAGCCAAGACCTGTGAAATGAATGAATGAATGTTCATTTTTAGGAACGGATAACTAATAGTTCAGTTAACGCAATAATCAAAGTTTTTGGTACCTTGTTTCGGAATGAATGGGGGTCGATGGGGTCTTCAGCAGCCAGGGAGATACTGCTGAGGAGGATGAAGAGGAGGATGATGTTGGTGAAGGTCGTGTGGTTGATGATCCTGTGGCAAAGCTTCCGGAACCTTTCGACAAACAGCATTAGTAAATCATTTTGGGCCAATTTGTTAAAAGTCTAGTTCTATATGTAGTTTTAGTGGTCTACATGGTATTATAAACCAGGCCATAAAGCCTCACTTGTTTTGTGGGCCAAAGATGAAAAAGGAGCTGGCCTCAGGCATGGGCACCACTGTCTCCTTCAGCTGTAGGTCAGCCATGGGTCTGGGTCTGGGGCTGATCGGGATCTCTGGTTCCTCTTCCTCATCATCACCTGAGTAGGAGAGAAAGATTATAGCATGGTCTACTCAAAAACATTATGCTTATTTGTGATCTACTTGTGTGAAATAAGATTTATTTGGATTAGCATTGATCACAAAGCCGTTTAAGCTGTGAAGCTAATTAAATTTTGCACAGCTCGAAAATCAAATGAAAATAGCCAGGCCTGTGGTTTGAATGTGCTCCATAAATGAGCTTGGGGGCTGGAGCTAATAATACATTTTACTTATAATAGATCAGCTATCTTTGAACTTCATCCATTACATGTTTAGAGAGGTACTGTGAGGTCTGAGCCAGCATTTTATGAAGTGCAGAGCCCTCAAATGATATATAAAGTCTTGTGTTAGAGTCTTTCAGCCTTACCTGGAAAGTCTGCAGGAGGGAAGGGGTCTTTCACTTCATTAACATTTGATTCAAACTCATCTATCTTGAGCTAGAGACAAAATCATGAAACTTGTTTAGGCATTTACACTTTGTTTATTTAGCAGACAATAAGAGCCTAGCATCAGAGCCTAACATTTTTGATGTGGCTGATTGAAGACCTGATGTAGTGAATCATCCTAATAGACTAGACAGAAAGCCAACTAGTAAAGTATTGCAGTAGGCATATACAGTATATATAAAATAATATAATATAAGCACAGTGAGCTCTTTTGTGTCAGATGTACCTTTGCTGTGGTGGGCATTCCCTCAGTTTTTGACCTGGACTCCATTAGTCTCTTAGCCATCAGGGCCTTCTCCTCCTCACTTTTCTCTGGCAATGTTCTTATTTGAAAAACATAAGACAAAATGTTGTTTAGTAATATATAGATATGCAAATACATTCAAAAGTTTGGGGTTAGTAAAATTTCCTTATGTTTTTAAAAGAAGTCTCTTATGCTCACCAAGGCTGAATTTATTTGATCAAAAATAAGGTAAAACAGTAATATTGTGAAATATAATTACAATTTAAAATAACTGTTTCTATTTTAATATCTTAAAATGTAATTGTGCTTTTGATGGCAAAGCTGAATTGTCAGCAGCCATTATTCTAGACTTCAGTGTCACATGATCCTTCAGAAATAATTCTAATATGCTGATTTGATACTACAGAAACATTTCTTCTTGTCAAAAACAATTGTGCTGCGATTTTATTTTATTTTTGTGGAAACTGCAACATTTTTCAGGACTCATGAAGAAAAGTTCAAAAGAACAGCATTTATTTGAAAAAGAAACATTCGCTACATAATAAATATGACTTTTGATCAGTTTAATGCATCCTTGATGAAATAAAATTATTAATTAATTGTTCTTTTACCTCATGAGTTTCCTTAGGGCCTTCTCCTCTGCTTTCTCTTTCTGTGCTGCTGTCAGACTCTCAGCCTCGGCTAGATTGTCCACAGCGATAGCCAAGAAAACATTCAAGAGAATGACTATGTAACCACTTGCTAAGGAAAAGTCCAAACAAACTTATCGCAACAATACAACATTACTGGTTGTGAAATACTTCTCACTTAGCAGCAGAAACAATTGCAAATGTTTATTTTATATTGAGTGCTTTGCTATATTCTTTTAAACACACTGAATTCTCATTTATCATCTCCAATCAGTTCTGACAAATTCATAACATGGACATGAAAATAATGACATATGCTTCAAAAGGATACAGTTTCCACAGACATACAGAATTATGAAGTAAATGCTGACAAGAATTCCTGGGGATTGAGGTCCGCCATGAGCCATGATTCCATTGTACATAATGGAGTCCCACTCCTCTCCAGTTAGGACCTGAAAACAAAGCCCAACCTCACATAAACAGCTTCTGTAATCAGAGCACAATTTCACTAAAACTGCAGTTGAAGTACCTGGAAAACACTGATGAGGGCCTGTGGGAAGTTGTCAAAGTTACTGCGCTGAATCACTCTGTCAGGGAAGTTCAATTTCCCACCAAACACCTGCATACCCAGGAGGGCGAAGATGACAATGAAGAGGAAGAGGAGCAGGAGCAGGGAGGCGATGGATTTCACTGAGTTGAGTAAGGATGCCACTAAGTTATTAAGTGATGTCCAGTACCTAATGACCAATGAGAGGAAATAACAGTCTTGGTGAAGGAAACATGTATTTTGTGTATGAGAGGTCATTAAATTAAAATAAAATAAAATGAACATTTCAAAATATTGATTTAATAAATAAATGATATATTTCTCAGTGTAAAATCCAGGGCAAAAGCCGAAGATAGCAAGTAAAGTAGTTGTACTAATAAGGTACTCTTCTCATTACTTCAGAGTAAAAGTTGGAAAATAAGGTAAAATAAGGACGTTAAGACAGATGGTAGTAAGATTTGGAAATTATTTGGAAATGTATAATAACTTAAGGTTTAAATAAATGAACATACCTTGTGAGCTTGAATAAGCGCAAGAGTCGTATGCATCTCATCACAGAAATCCCCAGTGGTGTCATGATGTTTGACACAACCAAGAATATCTCCAGTATTCCGATCGTGACCACAAAACAGTCAAATCGGTTGAAGATGGACATGAAGTAGGCTCTCGGACCAAATGCATACATCTTCATAACCATCTCAATCGTGAAACAGGCGAGTAGAATTACATTGGCAGTGTCTGCAAACAGGACCGAGACTCATCAAGATCTTACTTCATTCACCAAAATAAATATATAATAAAATCACTAGAATTACTCAATGATTCTATTTGAAAGATACAACAACTTTTATATACTAAATAAGAGTTGGGAATCTTGTTGGGAATGTATTGTAATGTATTATCTAATGTATTGCTTAATGGAACATACCTTGAAAACTTGTTAACCCCTCAGTCTGGTTATGATGCTCCATCGCAATGACCAGGGTGTTGAGTAACACAACAAGGAGAACCCACCAGTTGAAGAATTTAGATTTCACCCAAACATGACACTTTCTCCGTAAAACAATGTTCCAGCGGCGTGCGAGACGGCTGCGGATTACACAGTAAATGAAGAATCAGTCTTTGGTTAAATCATGATGCATATTTTTGCTCTTGATTGCACACTCACTAGAAATAGATCACCCTGTTGATCCCCTCCATCTGGTATAAACTGTCTGTCTCTGAATCAGTGTCCTTTCTAAGAAGAAGAAGTGCTGGAGAGTAAATCAAAGCAGGGAGAAACTTTAAAGATGCAGCTCCTGTGCTTTTTTTTGAATGACATCAGACAGACAGTTCGATAGGATGACATAAAACATATGTAAAAAGGACTGTAATAGCACCATTACCCTCAGAATCTCCATCCATCACTTCAGCATGAGTGATCCATTCCATGTAACCTTTCAGATCCTCATCCATTTGTTGTCGCTCTCGTAGCTTTTGGTACTCTCCTCGTGACCGTGACTTCTCCCTTTCCTTAGTAAACTCCCTGCATTGAGGAAAAACTCGTCTCAGTTAGGCCACTTAACCATGTAGTTGAGTTTGCTGAAATGGCTTCCTGGTCATGTGATATTCTTGTATTTTTAAGTCTCTCAAGTAGTTAAGATGAGCCATTTAATTTGATTAAACAGATCTGTTTCCCATAAACCATTTCAGAAGACTCCTTCAGTCAGAGTGTATTTGGATGGAATAATAATAAAGACTTCCAAACTTGTTAACCAAACTTTAAGCAGTTAGTATTAAAACCTTTTATTAAAAACATAGCCAGAGCTAATACCCGCTCAATACTCCAAGGACGAGGTTGAGGATGAAGAAGGAGCCCACAAGTATCAGAGTCAGGAAGTAGATCCAGGGCCAGTCATTCCCCATGGCATCGTTAATCTAAAAGATAAAATCATCACTAATTTGACAAACATTAAATTTGGATTTGTTCCAAAAATCCTGTCATTGACAAACGGTCAGTCTGTGCATTATTTGTGGGAATTTTTCTCTTTCTGCAGTTTACATCTTTGCACTAGTAGGTGGCGAAAAGTGTTATGAATGAGTCATCGAACCAAATTAGTTCAAACACACTGACTCGTTCAGGAATACAACACAATTTCTGTGTCTTTCTTGGAGACAAAAAAGAGGTCTAGAGACGCCATTCAAAATAAAATGAACTTCTTTTAACTTGATTTCTTGAATGTTACGTAATGCGCGTGATGCTGCAAAATATGCAAGGTCATACACGGTTGTCCAGCATGTTTATAAAGTAAAATGATTAAAAAGCAGTGCAACGCAAGACGCATTGTCAAAGATCGGGAAAAACAGGGTCTCGAGTTAATTCTGCTTTGACTTCATTTGGAATTATTTTGTTGATCAGTGCAAAAAAATGGAAATACTGTGTAAGTTACACACTATTAATTTTTTTATTTTTGTCTATTGAATTTCAGCCTTGTTATCTTGCTGTTGGTCTGAATGTCACCATAATTTAATTGTATTATATATAGCCTATACTGCTTGTTAAATTTATAGTGTCCCATCATTAATTTTTTTACTTTAGCATAGAGAAGTTTAATTATTGCCTGATAATATAAATGAATGTAAAGAGAGTAAAGAGTAGGATTATCATGTCCATAAGTAATTACCCAGTAGAGAACATCAGTCCAGCTCTCCATTGTGATACACTGAAAGACTGTGAGCATGGCAAAGCCAAAGTTGTCAAAATGGGTGATGCCAAAGTTGGGACCAGGCCAACCTGCCCGACATTCAGTGCCATTGATGGTGCAGCGGCGTCCGTGTCCAGCCTGAGCACAGGGCGATGGCTTCTCATTCTCCCTGATGGCAATGATATCTGAAACAGAGGTTGAACAGTACTGGCATTGATTTGTCAATTCGCTATACATATATTCATTTATTTAAATTCAGACCCATAGCTGCATATTAAGCTGAGTTGGGAGAAAGTGGAAAGAGTGTGTGACCTACATACCATCAAAGCTTGAGTCATGAAATAAGCTTGTGTAAAGAGGATTTATCATTGCTTTAAGTGTTTATATGCAGTATATGAAACAAAAAATGTTACCAGAACAGCAAAGTTCTGTGTCCACATGGGGTAAAATGATCTCATCATTGTGCAATAAGTGGACCCTCAATGTGGGACAGAACAGTCATATCAATAGAATCTATGTTAATTTCTCATTAGATGCATCATGAAAATCCCCTTCTGAGATTTGAGTGTATTTATAAAGGCCTCACTTGTACCTTTTGGACACACACATCACAAATCAAAGACTAAATATAAAACTCATCACACAAAACAGCACCTGCTAGCATGGTATATTTTCAGTTTGTAAAACATGTTCTAAATTGCATTCTAGGTATATAAACCCATAATTATATCTAACTTGAACTCTTAAGAGCTTATGCAAATCACATATTTGTCCTGTGTAACCGCCAACTGGGCGAGAACGTTAGCGCACATGTATCAGCTTCAAAACATCTATGTCCCCCTTATAACCCAAGGGCCAAAGACCTGAGTAGGCAAAAATCTGAACAACACTTTATCTTGGACATGTCTAAGCATCTCAGATTTTTTGGCAACACACCATGAGGTGTGTGTCAAGACATAACTATCCCTTTACTCCAGTTCACCTGTGCCATAATATTCTTTGCTACCCTCAGTAGCAAAAATATTTTCAAAATTAGCTGATGTAACGTTACTACTTCAAATGACCTGTAATCAGAGATTATTCATTTAACATATATGTTCTCCTATGGTAATTGTAGTTTAAGAACTTCTCACCAATGTTAAGTTGGTGTTGTTGGTGTCCTCTTCAGGCATGGGCAGAAACACAGCCAGGGCTACACAGTTAGCGAAGATAGTTAGCAGGATAATGATTTCAAAGGGTCTGATGGAGTCTGCTCAGGAAAATAATGAGTAGACACGGCAAAAACAACCACTGGAAAATGGAGGTAATTATTTTTCACATTCAAGTTGGGGGTGGATATGAGTACGGATTGCATCAATCTGATTTAACCAAAAATTAACCAGAGCCAAATACATGTAAAACTGGCTTTGGTGATTAAACAAAAGAGAGAGACTTTGGGTAGTTATTTGGTCAGTAGCTAATTAGAATCACTGACACACAAACCATCTAGTAAAGGTGGTTTTACCTCAGAGTAAACATTTACTAGGACAGTTTAAACTACATGACCCACAGTCTCCAACGAACTGTAATTATTTGTGAATTTCTGCCATTAGTGGAATCAGAATTTCCCTGCCAGCTCAGAATCATGTCCACTAGTGATCCCACGCAACAGCTGTACACAACCAGAGTATCATTAAACTGTATAAATACACCTATGCAAAAAAAAAAAAGAGCTCCAAAATTACATCTCCTATTCACCTCAGTACAAAAGCTAAAACACTTCTACTTGAAAATCTTCTATTCACATTTATATGCGTCTTGCTTAATGAACTAATCAGGAACTGAAAGTTTCACTTCGTAAAGCAAATGTTTGCTGTATATGTCAGTTTTGTCTCCAAGGGTGGTCTCAAAGAGGAAGTTAAGAAGCCGTTTCCAACTTTTTCTGAAAGGCAACAGTAAATTTTTGTTCTTGTTGTGAATTTAGGAACTTGCATTTATGAAAGATTCTTAAAAATATTTTAATTGTATTTACATATACAAAATTTCCAATCTAAAGCCTATGAAACAAAAACTGTAAATAGGGTCGATTAACACAAGTTTAAAGTCTTATTAATAGTGCATTTGCTGACTGGCTGTAAATAGGCTGGGGTTCATCCTTATCTTCCATGTAAAGACCTGATCCAACTGCTTCCAATTGACCGTGGTGAGGCTGACACATAACAAAAGCTTAACACCTTCAGTTCACAACTGAGACACAGATTTCAGCACCTTAAGAGACACTAAACCTGGGGATTATAAAAAACAACTGTCTGTTTTTATTTTCTCCACCTCACAGATGAAGATATCTATAATGGAGCAAATATCTCAGTCTGGTTTTGTTGAACATAAGACACAGAGTAAGACAGATCAGAGTTATGGTTGCATGCTTTTTCTGGCATGCATGCTAAACCAGCTCTCTGGGGGATGGATGCCTTTCTAAAACACACCCATCTCAATTATGATTCAAAACTATACAAACATCAAACCACAGTCCAAAAGGATGGAAACTAAAATGGATGTAAGTTTGAAGGATACTTCCATTCCACAATGTTGATGCAGGTCTTCCGGAAAGGGTTTTTGAGCGTGAAGAAGAACAAGGAACGTGGCGGTCGAGGGTTTCCTCCTGTGGCCTGTAGTTTCTTGAGTTTCTCCCTTTGCTTTCTTTTCAGTTCTTCTTCATTCATGATGAACGAGGCCAAAGCTGCCACCCCACCACTGCCCGACTCCATTTTGAATCTCCCAAAAGTAGTCTTCTCAATTCCTCATAAAAAATAGCCAAAACCTGAAATGAGAGTCCTAGTTTAGCAAATCCTTGGTCTTCTTAAGTCCAGGTCGGATCTTTAGTATGGTCCTAAGCTTCATCCACCATCTCGCCCTCTCTGAGAAGGCACAGTGTACCTTCTTGGCCCTGGCCCCTGCTGCAAACCTACACCAGACAAGCAGACATTGGAGGGGAAGGGAGTATTTAGGCACAGCTGGCCCCTTCTGAGGGATATATATAGACGGGCAGTCAGTGTCCATTCTTGGGGGTGCGGAGGCAGGTGGAGGAGGGGATGGGCGGCCTTGGGGTGCAGCAGATGAAGAAAGAGAATGACTAAGGTTCTGTAAGAGAAATTCAGCTGCTTATACAACACCACACATAAGACATTAAAAAGGAGAAAACATTAAGAATAGGACACATAAAATATTGAAATATGCCAGGCTTTTTTCCTAAGCAGCAGATGAGCGTTACTCATAGTGAATTTTCTCAAGAAAAAAAGCTGTACAAAGAAAGTTGGCAACATTCTTTATATATTTAACATTTTAGTGCATTTTCACATAAGCAACAATATTTCAGCTGTAAAACAGCTGCAAGTTGTTTGGATACATACTGGAAAATGATTATAGCAGCAAATACGATAGTCAAGCAAAGACCTTCAAATTCCTTCACATTTTGAGGTGCAAAATCAATATTTTTGGATGTCTGTAAATCAGAAAATCCAACAAAAGTGTCAAGCATATTAGAGGAAGCTTATGATATACTATTCAACAGTGCTGATCACTTAAAGCCACTTATTCCTTCACTATTATAAATTTATACATTTATTTATAATTATTCATTATAATCTGACATTTAAATGTGCCATCCTGAACAGTATTATCAGCTTGCAAACAAATAAACTAGGAATCATTCAATACATTTTGTGGTAATTCAAAGTGAAACTACAACAGTGCAATGACATTTTACACATTCATAAGCGCATCTATATTATATATACCTGTCCACATCAGTACTCCCAGATCACACAGCACACTTCCATGTAATCTCATTCTTTGCAATGTTATTTCAAAGCAAAATAGTGACAGGACCGATATATTCAAGTTATTGTGTGAGAAATGTAAAGGTGACCGTGGGTGTGAGACCAACTGGAGCTGGCTGATTCTCTTAATTTATATCTATGTTAACAGCAAGCAACTAAACAAGTTGCTTTATGTTTTCACAGTTTCAGTTTGAAAGCTGGAACCAACCAAGTCAGTCTTGGTTAGATTATAATACTAATGCAGGCCCACTGATAAAACATTGTCATAAAAACTGAAACTATAAGACCACCATGCATGTGGTCTCAGCCAGTGGTGCCAGTTACACAATGTTGATGCAGGTCTTCCGGAAAGGGTTTTTGAGCGTGAAGAAGAACAAGGAACGTGGCGGTCGAGGGTTTCCTCCTGTGGCCTGTAGTTTCTTGAGTTTCTCCCTTTGCTTTCTTTTCAGTTCTTCTTCATTCATGATGAACGAGGCCAAAGCTGCCACCCCACCACCGCCCGACTCCATTTTGAATCTCCCAAAAGTAGTCTTCTCAATTCCTCATAAAAAATAGCCAAAACCTGAAATGAGAGTCCTAGTTTAGCAAATCCTTGGTCTTCTTAAGTCCAGGTCGGATCTTTAGTATGGTCCTAAGCTTCATCCACCATCTCTGATCAGGCACAGTGTACCTTCTTGGCCCTGGCCCCTGCTGCAAACCTACACCAGACAAGCAGACATTGGAGGGGAAGGGAGTATTTAGGCACAGCTGGCCCCTTCTGAGGGATATATATAGACGGGCAGTCAGTGTCCATTCTTGGGGGTGCGGAGGCAGGTGGAGGAGGGGATGGGCGGCCTTGGGGTGCAGCAGATGAAGAAAGAGAATGACTAAGGTTCTGTAAGAGAAATTCAGCTGCTTATACAACACCACACATAAGACATTAAAAAGGAGAAAACATTAAGAATAGGACACATAAAATGATATTGAAATATGCCAGGCTTTTTTCCTAAGCAGCAGATGAGCGTTACTCATAGTGAATTTTCTCAAGAAAAAAGGCTGTACAAAGAAAGTTGGCAACATTCTTTATATATTTAACATTTTAGTGCATTTTCACATAAGCAACAATATTTCAGCTGTAAAACAGCTGCAAGTTGTTTGGATACATACTGGAAAATGATTATAGCAGCAAATACGATAGTCAAGCAAAGACCTTCAAATTCCTTCACATTTTGAGGTGCAAAATCAATATTTTTGGATGTCTGTAAATCAGAAAATCCAACAAAAGTGTCAAGCATATTAGAGGAAGCTTATGATATACTATTCAACAGTGCTGATCACTTAAAGCCACTTATTCCTTCACTATTATAAATTTATACATTTATTTATAATTATTCATTATAATCTGACATTTAAATGTGCCATCCTGAACAGTATTATCAGCTTGCAAACAAATAAACTAGGAATCATTCAATACATTTTGTGGTAATTCAAAGTGAAACTACAACAGTGCAATGACATTTTACACATTCATAAGCGCATCTATATTATATATACCTGTCCACATCAGTACTCCCAGATCACACAGCACACTTCCATGTAATCTCATTCTTTGCAATGTTATTTCAAAGCAAAATAGTGACAGGACCGATATATTCAAGTTATTGTGTGAGAAATGTAAAGGTGACCGTGGGTGTGAGACCAACTGGAGCTGGCTGATTCTCTTAATTTATATCTATGTTAACAGCAAGCAACTAAACAAGTTGCTTTATGTTTTCACAGTTTCAGTTTGAAAGCTGGAACCAACCAAGTCAGTCTTGGTTAGATTATAATACTAATGCAGGCCCACTGATAAAACATTGTCATAAAAACTGAAACTATAAGACCACCATGCATGTGGTCTCAGCCAGTGGTGCCAGTTAGACTTGTTCCCAGCTGAGTCCATCTGAGGGCTTAGCTGAGCAGCTTGTGGCGGTCAAACACAGTCTTGCGCTGCTCCTGGACCTGTTTCTTCCAGCGCTGCTGAGCCCCCTCTACCCTCTCCAGCACAGTGTTCCCACGACCTTGTGAACCATCCACACGGGGTCTCACATCCTGTAGGGAGAGACAAAGGACAAAATTAATACCTAAACCCAACAAAAATAGAAAAATATTCCTTAACTTAAGCAAATGATCTACAAAAGTGATTTAAAAAATATGATTCTTTGTCCCAAGTCTGCTATCAGACACGTTCACAAGTCTAAGAAAAAAAATTCTACCCTTTCAGTAATATAAGACAATAATAAGAAATGCTTCTTGAGCAGCAAATCAGAACGTCATGATTTCTGAAGGATCATGTGACCATCACAGGAATATATTACATTTTAAAATATATTGAAACAGAAAACTGTGATTTTAAATTGTAATAATACTTCATAATATTACTGTTTTTACTTTATTTTTGAACAAATACATGTAGCCTTGGCGAACATACTTGTTTAAAAAAAAACTTAAAAATTTTAATTATTCCAATCTTTCTCGATATATAAATGTATTATTTCTTGAACATTAAGTCATAAACAGTAGTATTAAAGTATGCTATGTTTTACTTGAATGAAAAGATTTTAAACGTAATACCATTTACTTAATAACTAATAAAATAGCAATTTTACAAGTTTGTCAAGTGAGGGACCATTTAACTAAAAAAAAAAAAAGAATAACTTACTTTTTTTGTTATGTATATTTTTTGGTGTGTTTTTTTTTTATTTTTCATGATAGAACAGTGGAGATATGACAGGAAGCAAGTGGGAGAGAGAGAGGGGGATGGGATCGGGAATGGTCAACTTTGATTTGAACTAGGGACACCCGAAGCGCAACTGTGGCATATGTCAACACGCTGTCCACAAGGCTATGGGCGCCAACATGTATACGCATTTAATAGAAAATGCATCTTCATTTTTGTGGGTGTGAGAACGAGAAAATATTTTCTCTTATTAGACCCAAAGACTTGTTTTGCTCAAAAATCTCTCATTTAAGTCCAAGTCAAGTCAATGCAAATTCTATGCTGAGTCAAAGTCTATGCTGTTTCCATCTCTGTAAAATACAAACCCCAATGTGCACAAACCTCAGAATCCTCCTCGTTCTGCAGTGGCATGGTGTACGGATCATGTTTGCGGATTAGAGGATCAACTAGAAATAGAAACAGCATGTACAGCAGAAGAGCTCCAACCACTGATAAGTAGATTATAATGGTCACCTGGGAAATACATAAAAAATATTAATACTCCTCAATTTAGCTTAAAGTGGACAACTAGATTATGAAGGCATAAAAGCAGATTATAATAAACATTTTTAATTCAAAGTAGGATTTATTGATTTCTGGAAGTCGCACAATACCTTAATGGTGTTGCTGCTTCGTTCTTCATACTTGCACTCACAGAGCAGACAGTAGGCCTCCACATCATGGCCAGGCACTGGCATGGGCTCCACCACATGCAGACAGTTGCTACAACCCAATACATTAACAATAAATTCTGAGACGGCTGAAAATAGTGTAAGAATTTATTGATCTATATATAATAACCTCTACAGACAACACAGGCCTGTTTGGACAGTTCTTTGTCAATACAGTAGTCGGTCTCACCAGTCTTTCTGGGACACATTCTTTTTGTAGATATGTCCACTGATGTTTCTGTAGGGTGGACAGATGCACTTGCAACGCACATCATTTTAAGAAAGTTACATTTTAAGAAAGTTACATTTATAGGACATCTTTTTACATAAGTGGGACACATTTGGTAAAATTCGGAGAGCATAGATGTAATGGATGTGTAAGGGAGAAACTGTACCTTATCTGCATATGCGAGTGAAATCACATCTATAAGAACAAGAAACACCAGAAGAACAGCTGCTATCCGGAGATTTTGAGCAATGCTGGACGACATGATGCCTGCACATAAACATCATTCAATTCAACATAAGGGAAGGTCATAATTGAATTGAAATGGGTCAACCGGTACTTTTTGATTAAAAAAAATAAAGCAAATTAAAGCAAACAAGACTAGTCATCGGTTAAAATGCTTATTCGTGTAGGACCTAAACAAAACGTTCAAAATCAATTCAGTGTACTCAGTGGCTTATGCAGCAACGTTAGTTTCGTTATATGAAGCTCACAAACACCGGTCTCTCAATCCCGCAGCTTAAGCCTTTTCTCCTCTCTGTTGTGCATTTTGAGAGAGAGAGAGAGAAAATAAATCTGAAAAGTCACATATTTAAGCTAAATGTTACATGCAAATGTTAAATTAAATGCATATACGCACCTATAATATTTATAAACGCCCATCAAACATATGTTGACTTTCTCCGGAAGTTCTGGAGTAATGCTTATTCGTGTAGGACCTAAACAAAACGTTCAAAATCAATTCAGTGTACTCAGTGGCTTATGCAGCAACGTTAGTTTCGTTATATGAAGCTCACAAACACCGGTCTCTCAATCCCGCAGCTTAAGCCTTTTCTCCTCTCTGTTGTGCATTTTGAGAGAGAGAGAGAGAAAATAAATCTGAAAAGTCACATATTTAAGCTAAATGTTACATGCAAATGTTAAATTAAATGCATATACGCACCTATAATATTTATAAACGCCCATCAAACATATGTTGACTTTCTCCGGAAGTTCTGGAGTATTTCTGTGTCACGTGATGATGGATAAACTCTAGCCCCGCCTTCACAAACGCGGAAAGGCCAATTAAAAGCGTTATTATTATTTTTTATAGAATAACACAATTTATAATCTGTAATGCCCCCCGATTCATATTATAAAATAAAGCCTCGGGTATAAAAGTAATAACATATCGACTTTCAGTTCCGACTACATACAAATAAGTCTCTTCAGATTTTGTAAACGATCACAAAGGAAATAAATGTGCAAAAGGGGAGCTAAAATAACTGAGAATGCATGTAACATATGTTAACTCCAGGTATAAAGAGTTTTTTAAAAAGCATGAATATGATTTCCTCCAAAATCTTTCATACGTTTTGTTCAAACTTCCCATAAACAGTTGGCGATTTAAATACTCTGTCTCTATTGGTTGACCAAACCGTCACTCAGACTGTGCCACGTCCAATCAGCTAGCGGCGTTTCAATCCTATAATTTTGGCGGCGGTCGGAAGATGGCGGAAAATTTGAAAGGTAAGAATATATCGTGTTAATCGTTCAGAAACAACGGTTTACACGCTATATGTCTGATGTGTTACACGAGTTGTTAGTTAAGTGACGTCTTATCAAAGATCCCCCGGAATCAAACACTTCGTTTTGAAAGAATCTTTGCTGCAAGTTGTTGATACAAATTCACATTAGGTCGATGTTATGGCTACCGCGCGCTCATGCAGTACATTCAAACAAGCTCATTGTGAACTCATCTGTTTCTCTTGCATCCACTTCTTTGTAAAGCTGGACAGCGTAACATACGGTGCAAAGATGTGCACACTGTTAGAGTAATATTCAGTGTTTAGCTTTTAGCGTAACTTTTACATTCTCTTGAGGAATATGATTTGCTCAACATGTTTGATCTCTGGAAACTTTATCATAAAGCACATGCTTACAATTCTCCCGCAAAATGTGAATCTAATATCTACGTCGTTGATTACCTACTGCGTTTAGGTTCACTGAATCTCTAAGTCCATTTTGCTTATGACCATTAGTCTTTAGACAATTTATTAAATGGCCCATAGGTTAGTGATAATACATGGGAGTTTTTCTGTAAGGGTATTTATCGCAAACTGCCAAAATTATCAAGTTATCTGTACAATATGTTAATGATTTTTTTACTCTGTGCTGTTGCATTTGGTTCAAGCTTTTTAGAGCCAAAGACCCCCCAACTATGATGATCCCCTTGTCAGGTAGCCCCTTCCTACAATATAAAAGCAGTTATATATTTTCATATATATTTGTATATACATTTGTTTCTTTGATATAATAAGATCAGCTAATTGTTAATTTTCTAAATTAAACGATTTGCTTTTGTTTGTCACTAATTTTATGTCTTAATTTATGTTAAACTATTATCTGGAAAATATTTCCAAGATGGCAACATATATTTTTAAAGCCTATATTAGAATATAGGATTGTCAATTTAATTGACAGTTATTTGAATAGCACTTTCCATAGTAAATATAATTCCAAAACTGTACAGCTAGTTAGAAAAAGCAGACAGTGGTGAATTCCTAGACGGAGGCAACGCTAATTCAAAATAATCTCGAATGTTAGAAAGTTTGAAGTCTGTAATTTTTGATGTTTTGAAAATTTCTTATGCTCACCAAGGCTGCATTTATTTGATCAAAAATACAGTAAAAATTGTAATATTGTACAATTTTAAATAACGGTTTTCTGTTTTAGTATATTTTAATATGCAAGTAATAACATATAGCAAAGTAATATAACTATTAGCTTTATTCCCGGAGTAAAAAAACTTAATAATAATAATATAATAATAATAGCTCTCAAATTCTCTGCAAACCTCTGGTTTACAGGCATGAGGACATCAAGTTACCTATTTGCTGAAGAGCTGTGGAGTTCTTGATCTAAAGCTTGCACACATGTCTGTCATCCCACGTTTTACCTGTGTTTTTCCTGAAATTAACATCTAATTGTATTTTGTAGCTGAAGTTTGTAGGGTAGCATGCATCGCTACTGTAGACCAGCTGGAGGTGATCTGTCGAGAGCAGGGGGTGAAATGCGAAGAGCTGGGTATCAGCAAGCACAACCTGTGTGACTATGAGGTGGAATATCTCTGCGACTACAAAAAGAAAGTCATCAACCTTGGGAAGACACAAATAGTACAGGTGAGCTTAAAAGTTTGGCTCATAAATGTACTCATGTCAAAGTAAATTCTACTACATGATGGGTAAAATTAGTTTTATCAAAGCTAAACTTAAGTGGTGGCCAGTCACATAAACTGCTTAGATTAGTCTTACAAGTTAGTCCATATCTAGTTTTTTTTAAGGAATCTTGCATCCAAAAATGAAAATTTGCTGACAATTTACTCACCCTTAGATGTGAAGAAATTTAGCATCACTTGCTCATCAGTGGATCCTCTGCAGTGGATGGGTGCCGTCAGAATGAGAGTTCAAACAGCTGATAAAAACATCACAATAATCCAACCGGTCTCCAGGCCATCAGTTGACGTCATTAGAAAGGAAAAGTTGTGTGTTTGTAATAAACAGATTTATCATTAAGACACTTTACTATAACTGTTGTGTCCTACTAAAATTCCTCTGTCCAAAATGTTGCTTTCCTTAGTGAAAAAGAAATCTTGTCTGAATCAGGAGATAAATATGTACAGATCAAGCACCATATACAAGCCAAAACAGGGGCCTGTACCATGAAGCCGGATTAGCTGGCTAGCCAGGTACGTTTCAGTTTAGATTGCACCAGTCCTGGGTTTTAGGTACCATGAAAGTGGCTTGGCTTTTAGCTGCATTCGTTGCCATAGTAACTTACACTCCACGGCTAACCTGCTCCAGGGCAGGTTATGTTCCGAGTTAGAGATCTCAAACTGAAATTGGACCAGATGTGAGCAAAGTGACACGTCTAACACAAAAAAGTCACTCCATCAGTTTATCTTGCTCCAAATTAAAGATAACTAGTACTAAAAAAAATGTCTGGCTTTAATGATAATTACTTAGAGTTATTTTATATGATTTACATAATTATATGTGTGATATTATTATTAATCCATTACACACAAGCAATTTTAGTTTATCAGTTATTATAAATTATTTTAAATGAATGTTAATATATACAGATCGTATGTAATATTAAATAAGCTGTAGAATCAATAGATAATGCTTTAAAAAGGACTATGTGACCTTACATGTTTGAGTCTCTATCGCTGTATATAACACGTTTCACTTGTGATTGCACTGATAAAGCAAGATCATTTCTTTTATTTGTCCTCTTTCATGAACAAGTACTTTTTTCATTGTAAATGCATTTAAATTCGTCATATTCTTCAATCTTTTAAATTTTAGCAAAACGTTTAACATTTAACCAAGGCTCGTGATTGGCTGTTCGCCAGTGATGTCACACATTCATGTGCACGTGCTCCACAAACTCAGGATCAAAGCTTGAGTTGACAAAGAAAGTGGATGATCAGCATCATGGTACCAACAAAGCCGGTTTGGTTTTGTTAATTCGAAACTAATCCTGTAACTGAATTTGCTCATCTACCATCATGGTACAGGCACCAGGTCTAAAAATATATGTCAGTAAATTCTGGATTCTGGATTGATGTTCTGGCCAGAAGGGACAGTTTAAAGTTGTTTCTTGCAAACACTCAGCTTTTCACCTCACAAGATGTTAAGTGATGGACTGGAGTCGTGTGGATTATTGCGATGCTTTTATCATCTGATTGAACTCTCATTCTGACGGCACCCATTCACTGCAGAGGATCCGTTGGTCAAGTGGTGTAATGCTAAAATTCTCCAAATCTGTTCTGATGTTAAAAAAAAAAAAAAAAAAAACTCTTCTTCATCTAGAATGACATGAGTAAATTGTCAACAAATTTTCATTTTTGGATTAACTGTTTCTTCAAGTCTAGTCATAACTATATACATCTCAATATATAGTTCATTAATCAAGGCAATATATTTGTTTAATAATGTATATAGTGTTGTGCACAGTATGATATTGTCATAATGTCATTCGTTTTTTAAATTAACCTAAAAGTCTTTCATATTTTCATTTTTCTATAGTATACATGTTTAAGTGTACCTTGTTCACTCTAAATTTTGTTGTATCATGTACAATGACAATAAAGCACCTTATATTAACTTTTCATGTAATTTACATTAAAACGTTTGGTTTAATTTGAGCCCAAAAAATTTGACTGATTGACCACTTGACGAACCACTACTTGGTCAGACTAGCTCAGTCTTAATAGTGGCTATGTTTATGCTACTGGCCCCAGGTTTAAATGTGTTTAAGCTCACATCCCTGTTACCCCCTTCATAGGAGTTATACTTGGTGAAATGGAAGGGCTACCCCGAATCCAGCAACACATGGGAACCACGGAAGAACCTGAAGTGCGTAGATCTTCTCAACCAGTTCTGGGAGGACCTGAATGCAGAGATGCAGAGACAGAAGAAGCGTGCTGCCCCTCGTCGACTAGACCCTGCCACCGTGTCCCAGCTCATCCAGCGGGCCAAACTCCGACAGACCCTTAAACGGTGGGAGACACACCTCAACAGCCTGGGCACCCACAAAGGCCACATCTACGTCCGGAACCAGGTCGACCTGGAAGGCCCGCCCAAGAACTTCACCTACATAAACGACTATAAAGTGGGTGATGGGATCTTGCTGAATGAGGTATCCGTGGGCTGCGAATGCACAGACTGCCTGGAAAACCCTGTGGAGGGATGCTGTGCCGGAGCATCGCAGCACAAGTTTGCTTACAATGAGTTAGGCCAAGTCCGCATTCGGCCCGGGTTGCCCATTTACGAATGCAACAAGCGCTGCTGTTGCGGGATCGACTGCCCCAACAGAGTGGTGCAGAGGGGAATTCAGTATTCCCTCTGCATTTTTAGGACAGACAATGGAAGGGGATGGGGGGTAAAGACCACAGAGCGCATTCGGAAGAACACTTTCGTTATGGAGTACGTCGGGGAGGTGAGAAGCACTATATGTTTACTTCCTGTACGGATCAGATTTTTAAAATATATATATGAATATGATATGTTATGTATTGGTGGCACCCATTCACTGTGGCTTAGAGAAGTTGTTCATTTTTACACGTTCAGTGTTCCGTTGTGTCAGTTTAAGCTTTTTGTGTTTCATTGAAATATGTTTTGCTTCACTGGTAGAAAATGGCATTATCAATCAACTTTTCAGTTTCCTTGTGATGGCTGATTGGCTGTTTATCTGTCTTTCCCAGAAGTGAGTCTGGCTTTATGATCGTTAAACCCTCTTTTTATCTCTTTTGTTTAGATCATTACAACAGAAGAAGCCGAACGCAGAGGTCACATATATGATAAAGAAGGCGCCACCTATCTTTTTGATCTGGATTACGTTGACGACGAGTACACCGTGGATGCTGCTCACTATGGAAACATCTCTCACTTTGTCAATCACAGTGTGAGTGGATTTGAGATCCTTGCATCATCTTGTAAACAACTGACTTGATGGCAGTTAAACTGTAGCTTTTTATCTGAGGGAAATAAATTGAATATCACAAAAGTTTTCTTTTTTCTCCTCAGTGTGACCCCAACCTCCAGGTATATAATGTGTTCATTGATAACCTGGATGAGCGGCTGCCGCGGATAGCATTCTTTGCCACACGTGGGATAAAGGCAGGAGAGGAACTCACATTTGACTACAACATGAAAAGTAAGTGTGGGACCTTATAGAAAAAGAGTGTGTACAACATGACAAGTCATTTGGGGTCATTTACCATATAATTATTTAGATCAATTGATTCATACACTACCGTTCAAAAGTTTGGGATGAGTATCTGTTTATTGAAAGAAATTGATACTTGTATTCAGGAAGGATGCATTAAATTGATTGACAATAGAGACATTTGTAATATAACAAAAGGTTTCTACTTTAAAAATAAATAAATAAATAGAATCTGTTTCTTGAGCAGCAAATCACATGAATAAATTACATTTAATTTTTTAACTGTATTTTTTGTTTAATGTTCGATTAAACTGAGTGTCATTCACTAAATTATATATTTTTCAATATAAATACAGTATTTTTCGAAGTAGAATTTTTTTTTCTGTCTCATTTTTTCCATAGTTGATCCAGTAGATGCAGAGAGCACGAAGATGGATTCTAATTTCAGTCTGACGGGACTCCCAGGCTCTCCTAAAAAGCGCATGCGTGTAGAGTGCAAATGCAGGGTACCGACATGTCGAAAGTACCTCTTTTAGAGGAAGTCCATGCTAAACAGGGACTGAAAGAAGATCATGTGTTCCAGTGAATGTTGAAAGCATCTGCAGTTTAGAAACTGTTTTGGGATGTGTTTGGAAATACTTCATTGAATTTTAAATATATATTTAAGAATTTGTTTTTATTTCCCCAAGATCAACCTCAACTTTTTCCGTAGTATTGTTGTCTTCCGTGTTTAAATAGTGTATAAAATGTAGCAATACTTTTTCAATTTGTCCGTTAGAAAAGTTTGTGAAGTAAAAAGTAATAGTTTTAAACCCATATTTTAATTAATATCAAGCTTTGACTCCATGGAATTATTAAAGAAAAAGATTTTACTCTTTTTTCTTTTTTTTGAACATTGAAATGTTCATATGCTTTATCTGTTTGAATAGAAGGGATTCTCTTTTTACTTTTTCCAACAAACTTTTGTAGTCTTACTACTTGCCCTATTTTTAGGAAACATCTTTAGGCCAGTGCAAAATATAAAAAATCTATAATGTCCTTCTATTTTTTTTCTTGACCTCAAATTCCCACCAGGGGGCAAAATTTTATTATTAATGCACAGAAGGGGAAAGTTCGTTAGACTGAAGGAGGTGGACCTACATGAAATGTTGCCTTTCACGCATGCAAAATGTTATCATTCTGTGTTTTGTGTGTATATAGTCTAACAAAATATATTCATACTGTCAAACTTTTTTCAGTGACTATTTGAGCGCTGTGCTTAACTTTGGTTATTATTTCACAGGTCTATTCAGGGCTGTGTTTCCCAAAAGCATAGTAAGACTATTGTTGATAGCGGTTCATACATCATTCTACTTATGCTTACTATGCTTTTGGGAATCACAGCTCAGGTGGTTTTCAGAACTGGACCGCGAAGCTGGAATGTGTGCTGTAGATTAATGTGAGATGATAAATTCTGTATTAACCCATGCTCAGGACCATTTTGCTTAAATTTAATCAATTCACACAATTCTATAACTATCGTTCAACCAAATCTGTGCATATGTAAATATTTAAAGACTACCACTTGTTTTTATTGGTTTTGCATTAAAAAAATAAAATAAAATCAAGACACCTTGTCAGACCTCACATTTATCTCACACTCATGAATGTGTAACAAACTATGTTCTTGTTTATTAAATTGTATCATGAGTTCCACTGCTCTGTGAATACAACTGTTTAATGCCAAAGTTTAATTGATTTCAGTTTGGATAATTTCTCATTTTTGTTGACATTAACAGCAAGCATGATCATCTTTATGTGAAGGGCTGTACACACACACAAAAAAGCTGTGAAATAAACAGATCCGCTTTTATGAGTTACAAACTTTTATTTCTACTTTGACATTGACAAAATACATGTGAATATTTCATTATTTAGCACAGAATGTGTTCACAACCTTGTTTGCACATTTATTCAGTGAGACGACGAAGTAATAAAATACGTGACTTGATATCTTTCGTGTCAAGTTTTGGAAGGGAATCAAGGGTCAAAGATTTCTTGAAGGAACTGTTCTATCCTCTCTGCCTACAATGGTGTTTAGTCACCCGGTAACCTGATGCCGTGACTTCAGTGCAATGTGTGACCTTTTGGGGTATCGGAGGCTTGGGGCACGCTTTTAAATATCACTGCAAAACGCCATACGATCCGCTTTTATGAGTTACAAACTTTTATTTCTACTTTGACATTGACAAAATACATGTGAATATTTCATAATTTAGCACAGAATGTGTTCACAACCTTGTTTGCACATTTATTCAGTGAGACGACGAAGTAATAAAATACGTGACTTGATATCTTTCGTGTCAAGTTTTGGAAGGGAATCAAGGGTCAAAGATTTCTTGAAGGAACTGTTCTATCCTCTCTGCCTACAATGGTGTTTAGTCACCCCGTAACCTGATGCCGTGACTTCAGTGCAATGTGTGACCTTTTGGGGTATCGGAGGCTTGGGGCACGCTTTTAAATATCACTGCAAAACGCCATATACACTTGTCTGACAAGAAAGGTAAGCATTTTTTTAACCCTTTAGTAAGCAGAGGTGTAACATGCCATATTCTTCAAGATTAACGTGTACTCATTTTAAGTTAATAGACAGAATGTGTGTGATCAAAGTCACAAAATTACCACATACAACATCAAACACAGTGAAATTAAGTGAATAAATAAACGCAAGTGTCTTTGAACATTTCTTACCTACATAAATGCTCTGCTTAATTCGTAGACGTCTACACAGACTAACTCCTCACTGAGAACAAGCAAAACCTCACATTTAACTAAACTTGAAACTCAAACTTTTCTAAATTTCTGCACCGTTTGTCCAGTCTCCCCACATTTCTTATCACACATAAATCCACATACGTGCACCGTCAAGTCATTCCACTCAAGTGGCTCCCATAAAAGAGCCAAATGCAATCTTTAGTAGCTACTGTATGCATATATAGAGAGAAACTCACAAAATAGACACATTTTGGTAAGTATGAATCAATGAGCTGAGCCACATTCCAATGGCCAATCATGTATGAGGTGCACAGTGATGTCATTCAGCTAAAACACACATTGCTTATTCAAACTATTATTTTTGGTTGCAAATAAACCACTGCAGTTTTTATACTGGCAGTCTGAATGATTAACTACTGTATACATCAAGCAAAATCTCAACTCCTAAATTTGAAAACACTAACTCTCACTCTAATACCACAAACACCAGATCCGATTGCATGTAAATATCTTTTTGGAATTCCTCAAGGCACTGGGGGAAGATGAAGAAGGTAAAGTCTTAAAGCTTTGTAGAAGAAACAGATGGAGGGGAAATTAAACTGGCATAGAACTTAGAACCAGAGGGACAACAGGAATAATCCCACACACAGAAAAGCACTGGGCTCTTGAATCCCAACAGCCAGGCAAATAACAGCACTGAAGAAGGTCGCGGAGACCATCAGACACGTGTCCAGAGAAACCTCAGTCTGATCCTTTGATATCTGCGATAGTTCAGTGCCGGGTCTTGGCAGTGTGTGCTGGGTTTCAGGGTTTTTACATATCTGATATGGAGCAGTAGACGTTTCATCACCCTTAAAAGTTATATCATCTTCTGCTGAAGCGTTAACGGTTGAAGACTGAAGATCGAAGGCTGTTGGTGATGTTTCAGAAATGCTGGTCAGTTCTGGCTTGCTTGTTGGATGCTCTGGAATACACATTGTAATAATTTGGTTATCAAGTTTTGGATCCTCAGGGTGGACTGGGGCCAACATGCTCGGATCCAAGACAAGTTCTTCCTCTTGCTGAGGTTTCATGTTTGCCGACTTATCAGAGTCTGGATGGCTGAGTAAACTTTGGGATTCTTTGTCCGGTCTTGTGGAACCTAAATGAGATGGGAACAAACAGGAAGCCTCCAAACCATCGTTTTCCTCATCATCTATCTTGGTACTTTCCACCTCAATCGTCTTGATGGTATCGACTCGGACCGAAGAGACAAGTTCTACTTTGTGTTCTTGAATTCCTTCCTCCAGGGGGTGCTGTAATCCCTCTGATAAATTGAGCTTTTCCACATCTTTAGTTGCATGGTTTACCTCCTTTGATGAAGGAGGCTGCTTGGCTTCTTCCAACATGTGAAAGCAAGTCCCCGTTTGATCTTCTTTTACATTTCTACTTGGTTCTTCTAGCACATCTGCCAATGTGGCATCCTTTTCTACAACATCTTCCTTCACCTTAACATTCTTCATACCTTCTTCCAGGATTTGTGGCATGTCTGGAAAACCAGCCAGTGATGGTTGGCTTAACTCGAAAGGCACTTGTGCTAACATCTCAGTGTGGAAATCATCCTTCTGTGAATGAAGGGATTGGTCAGGTTTACTGGAATCCTCAAATTCATTCTTGGTTGTTTCTGGGTGATCATAATGGTGTACGAGGACTGCAGGAAGAGGAAGGGCCAAGGAAGGGCCAACATTATAGACTTGATCTTGTGGCTCAGAGAACTGCTGTGTTGAACGTGACTGGGGGATAGATAGAGTTAACGGCTGAAGTCCAGACTCTTCTGTTTGTGGTAAATTATTGGATGACATTGACTCTAGTGCAAGTGGTTCTCCGAGGGGAGTATCTGAAGTGGACTGAGGACATCCTGCTGTGGAGGAAGTCCTGGTGGACTCTTGAGAACTGGACAATTTCTTGGCAGTCTGAAACAGAGAAAAGTAAGAGGAAAAAAAGCTTGGATTCCAAAGAACCAAGAATGTATACTGTAGGCAGTAAACACTTTGTTTTGCATTTATGAATCTGAATTACTACCAACTAACAAAAAGTGTAAGATGAATGGCACAAACTTGAAATTCAATATGCATTGCTGTAATCCTTTCTTGATTGCAACTAGTTGGAGAATCAAGAGAAATTGGATTTGCTAATGCATATTATTATTATTGACACCAGCACTGACTATGAGCACAAATTATCTACTGATATTAGTATAAACGTTTTCTATTAATGTTTAATACATGCCGTTTTCTAGACCGTATCAGTTTATCAACACTGTTAAATTATCTTTTTAACCTACAATTATTAAAGAAAAAATTAATACGAATATGAAGACGTATATATAATTTCACAGAATTAAAAAAAGTAAATACATAAGAAAATAAATAAATAGTTGAACTTCTTATAATGCCTTCATGTGAGCATGAAGTTTGTGCCAGTTCTTTCTGGCTCTTTTCCCAGAAGCCTGTGCCAATGAGATTAGGCTAATGGAAACAAAACCTTTAAAAGTTCTGAATGTGATGTGACACGATCTTGTGACAAAATTACACAAGAATTAAAAGCAACAATGAGAAAAGTGATGTTGAAAAGGTTTGGGGAATGCGGTTTAACTATGAATTTTGTCTGCTTAAAGTTGTGCAGGGTAAATCTCAGGGTAAACATGCAATGATACTGACAATATTTACAGACTAAACACAGAAATACAATTTCTACTGCAATTTTTTAACTGTTATATATATATATATATATATATATATATATATATAAAACTTTGACAATTGTATGCGTGTTTACTTCAGTTATACAGTTTTTTCCCCCTCCCAATGACTCCTTGCCAAAATGCTCTATGGGAAAACAGCCCAACTATTAGGAGTCCAATAAAACAGCCCAACTATTTTCTAAAAATTCACAGCAGCTTCCCTCAAGTTGTAAATATCAGGAACTGTCAACATAAAATAAGATCAAACTAACTGTATATTTTTTTGCTTATATAAACATAATATAATATATAGCATACACCGAGCTTATCGTTTTTTATTTTTTTAACTCCAAGCATGAACACGAATAGCTTCTACAGGGTTGATTTGATATCATATTATGGGTCATAATACAGGATGCATGTTACATGCAACACGATGAATGGGTGAAATTGACAAGTTAGCACGTCACATGCACATTACCTAAGTTGATGCTGAAGCTTCAATGAGCTGTTCAGGTAGACAGATGAAAAGAATAATATCAACAAATACACATCTTGTTTTTAATATGATATATACTGGAGCATAGGTTAAATCATTGTTGGTTATTAACCAACAACTGTTCAACATGTTTAGCTAATTTACAAAAAGCTGTGACATACTGTCAGCATGATAATTAAAAAAAATAAATAAAATACATTGTTAAATATATTTTAAAACCATATTTTTATATATTTAAAAGGTTTAACAGTTCAAGGGAAAGTTCACCCAAAAATGAAAATTGTCTTCATTTACTCACCATCATGTCGATTCATGATGGTGACTTTCTTCTGTAGAACATTTTAAGATTTTTTCTTTACCTATTGAATGGAATTCATTGGTATTGCTTGTTTACCAAACTGTTTGGTTACCAACATTCTTCAGAATATAGAAAGTCATACAGGCTTGGAACAAAAATGATAACAGAACTTCAATTTCTGTGTGGTCTATCAGTCAAAGGCCTCGGGTAAATTAATAATAATGTGTCTTATCAATTTATTGTAAAGGGCTGACCACAGACCAGAAACCCAGATAGTGATACTATTGTTGTAAATACCAGGTTCAGTTACTTAAAACAGCTGCAAATTGACACACTGCAAATAGACACAAGCAAGAGGTTATCTGGACAGTGAAATGTCGGTGGGAATTTTAACAAGCAAATTATGCGAGTATGCAGGCATGATGAAAATCCACATCATCAGAATTTTAGCTAGTATTAAATAGACAATCAATGAGTTAAAAGTTTTATTTTATATCTAGATTATTGAGTTATCTTTTGTATGGGCTGCTCTGAAAAACACTACAGCTCTGCATTTGTTGCAATACTGACAGACAGGGTATA